GGGATATGGTAGCTTTTATCCAGGAGTCTGGTAATTTAGCTTTCTCCAACAATATCTTTTCAAAGTCCTCATAAAGAGTCTTGTGTACTTCCCCTGGAAGGCCAACTGGCCCCAGGGTTTTATTATTTTTTCGTTTTTGCACAGTAGTTTTTAATTCCAAGGCTGTTATTTTCCCATTCAAAATTTCTCTCTGTCCTTCTTTTAATTCTGGCAGACCCTTCGCCTTTAAATATTGTTTAATGCTCTCCACATCTATCTCCTCTTTTTTATATAATGACTCAAAATAGTTCTCAATTATTTCTTTCTTTTTATCCATTCTATATTGTGATTCTCCATTTTTATCGTGTAATTCCTGAATAAATCTTTTTCTTTCTCTTTTTTTAGTTTATAAGAGAGCCATCTCCCAGGTTTGTTTGCGTGTTCAAAGAAATTTTATTTTGCTATTTTCAATTCTTTTGTTCTTTCCTCTTGATCTATCACATTTAGTTTATGTTTAACCAAAACCATTTCCATTTTAATCGATTCATTTTGGGGCTCTTTTTATAATTTAGATTCCAATTTTTTAATCTCTTCCTGTAATATATTTTGCGTTTGCCTTTTCACCTTGTTTTTTCTTGCTGTGTAAACTATTACTAATCCTCTTAAATATGCTTTCTCAGTGTCCCAAATAGTTTGTATTGATGATTGTTGTTTTATGTTCTCTTTTTTAAAAAAATTCCATTTCCCTTCTACTCCTTGCTATAAATTCTTTTTCTTTCAAAATGTGAGAGTTCATTATCCATCTTCTCCTTGCTTTTTTCTGCCCTTTCCAAATTATTTGCAAAGGATTGTGATCAGCCCATATATTTGGCATTATTTCTATTGTCTCACTGTATTGACCTACTTCTTCATTGGTCCATGCCATGTCTATTCGAGACCAAGATTTATGTGGGTTCGAGAAGAATGTATATTCTTTTTTATTATTATTCCGCTTCCTCCACTGGTCTGATAAGTTAAATTCATGGACCAAATCAAAAAATATCCTTTCTTTTTATTTTTTGTATCACTAATATAGTCTTTTTTTACATCCACTATCGCATTGTAATCTAATACTATACAAATATTTCCCTGACCAATTTCTATAAGTTTCTCATGTAATTTGTAGTAAAAATTCTTTTTGCTTGTCATTTTGTGCATATATTACCAATAGTAGCCATGTTTTATGTTCGGTTTGTAATTCTATTGCTAATATTCTTCCATCTGTATCTTGATATTTCAATTTGGCATTAATTTCTTTTTTAATATAAACTGCTAATCCTCTCCGTTTTTGTTCAGTTAATGCTGTGTATAATATTCCTAATCTGGGGAACTCTAAATATTTCCTATGTTCTTTGATATGTACTTCCTGTAAACAAACTATATCTATATGCTGTTTGGCTAATTTTGTTAGTATTTGTTTTCTTTTTGCAGGTGCATTTAACCCATTTATATTAATAGATAATAGTCTGATCTCTTTTTTCATTTTCTACCTGTGTGCCTATTTGTGTGTTTGTCTTATTCTTGGACCTAGTCCTTTTTCTTTCCTCTGTCCTTTTTCTTCCTTGCTTTCTGTCCCTCGTTCTCTTTCCCTTACTTCCTGCTGTTGGTCTTCCTGCCTTTTAGATTCCAATTCTTCCTTGCTGCTATTCTCTTCCTCCACTCCTTCCAGTTGCTCATAGAATTCCTGTTCTTTCTCTAGGCTATCTATCTTAATCCTCCTCTCCCTCCATGATATTAACATCCCTTCTGGGATTAACCATCTGAACGGTATACTTCTTTTAATTAAATAAGCACTAAGGAATCTATATTCCCTTCTCTGTTCTCTTATCTTCTTTGGTACCTGTTTTAGAGTTTGTATTTCCACTCCTTTGTAAATCATTGGATCCTCTCTTGTGATTTCATAGATTATGTCTCTCACCCTTTTCCTAGCAAATCTAATATGTACTTCTCGTGGGAGTCTGTTGCATCTGGCATAATTTGTATGGATTCTATACATCTCATCTATCTCTATCAAAATCTCTTGTTTGTCCCTTTGCAGGGCCTTGGCAATCAAATCCACCATGATAGCACCCAAATCCTCTTCCTTCTCCTCTACCACATTTTGAAATCATAGGTAGAATGCCGCCCTATCCATTTCTAGATGGATGATTGATTCCTCCAATTTTTTATTAGTTTCCATCATTTCTGTATCATATATCAACTTTTTTCCCTACTTTGTCCAACCCCACTTCTACTGTCTAGATTCTTGCTTCATTTTTCTCCATCATTTGTTGGATCATCTCAATTCTATTATCCAATTTATTCATATCCCCTCTCATTTCTATGTGATTTTTAGATATTGTCTCCTGCATTTTTAGCATTGTTTCTTGAATAGTAAGAAGTGATGCCTGCATGGTTTGTATACTAGACATTACACTCCGTTTTTCTGTACCAAACATTCCTTCTAGTGTTCTTTGACCAGGTGGAAATGAGGGTGTCAGTGTTAGACTTGACACCATTTTTTTCCTGTCCTCAGTGTTGCCATAGTTATCACTTACTTCTCTAATATTTCCTATTTCTGAATGTCATTCTATTTAGCCAACAGCTTATTCAACTTTATTTTAACTCTAAACTTCTGATTTTTCGTTTCCTTTCCTCAACTCCTCTGAGATTACCTCCACTGTCACAGTTCCCCCACTCTCTCTTTACCTTCTCTAACCCTCTTCGCTTTCTTTCCTCTTTCTTACTTATCACACAGTTTTTCTAAAAATCCAAATTACTTCTCCAATCCTATATTTTCAATCATTAGTCCATTCTTATCTCTTCCTTTGCCTTCCAAGCCTCATCCACGTTCCTGTCATTTCCAACATCATGCCCCCATCCTCTAGTCATCTCCTTCCCTTCTGCTCACTCTCACACTCGTCACCGTATCCCCCCTCTCAATCCATCACTTTCTCTCGCTTCTCTTAACTAAAGACGCTGTCCCTATCAAACTCCGGATTTTCCTTCCAATTTTGTCACTCCGGCCATCAATCAGTTCCTTTCACTTTCGCCTCCTCTCTCGCCTCTCTCAACTGAAAACACCATCCCTGTTAGGCTCCGGGTTTTCCTTGTGATCTCGTCACTCTCCTCGGGAATCCATTCTTTTCGCCTTTGTCTCCTGTTGTGTCCTCTCGCCATCTTTCACCTTCCAGATTTTTACTGCACGCCATTGTCTTTTCACACTTTCTCCTCATCTCCTTGGCTTTCCAGATCCTCACCACGTTCAGGTCTGTCTCCAACTTTCTTCTCCAACTAGTTTCTCCAAGGATCTCTAATGTTCCAGAACATATTCACTCCTCCATTCCTCCTAAATCACCATTTTCTTTTCCTTCCCAAGTATTCTCCCTTCACTTCTCTCTTCACACAGGCTCCACCAACGCCACCTTCACCACAGCCTCTCAGCTTTTTCTTCTTTAATCCTCCACCTTCTTCCTTGTATTTGCACTCAAACTTTTACCACAGGGTCTTTCTTCTTTTATGTCACCCTCCTGTTAATCCTCTGGTTGTTAAATCTGTCAACTCACGGCTCTTCCTGCTGGGTCACTGCTTGCATTGAGGATTCCCTCACCAGTTGAGCTTTCTTTCAATACCCACTCTCTTAGACACGTAGATCTTTTTTTTTGGCTTTTCTATTTATTTCATAGAGATATTTTAGACTATTTTAACTCCCTCATTAAAATAGTCTATTAAGCTCCTCTTTGCTTCTGCATCTTCTGTGATTTTGTCAGGGCCTCAGATCCGCCATTTGTTGATGGCAGAATTTTCCATGCTGGATTTAGGGGGTTTCCTTTGTTGTAATGGGCGATCGCCTCTCATTTTGTTACTCTTCAGGCTTCACCCTTTATCATGAGTAGCATCCCTGAAGGGTCCCCAATCATAGAAAGATCAGAGTTAGGGGACAGAGGCTGTCCTCTTGCTTCCACACTGCCCTGACGTCATACCAGAAGTCTCTCTGTACTTTTTCTAGAGTCTCAACATCTTTTTTTACATTGTGGTGACTAAAAAAGTGGATGCAGTATTCCAAGTGTGGCCTTATCAAGTTGCCTAGCTTAGTTATTGCCTAGCTTTTATGAAATGAAATGTTAAATGAAATGAAAATGAAATGAATGAAAAAAATATAATGTTTTCTCTTTTTTTGGAAAAGTCTGACCCTTCAAAAGTTGAAGTATTGTACTGTTTTTCCAATTTTGTTCCTTTTCCTTATCTGAAGTAGAGTGGTGTAGGGTTTTCTTTCCTGCAGTTACCTTTCCTCTTCCATGGAATTTTATGAGGAATCCTGTCAGCATTGTTTGCATCGTTTCCTGTGTTTATTCTACCTCTCCCTCCTCCAGTTCTGTAATTGACTAAAAATGAAATAGCTACACAATATCTTTGAACTGCCAATGCTAGCAACTATTAAACAAGTATCCTTAATCTAATGTTCCTTGGGCTTTGTGGAAAGTTATATACAACTATTGCATAGTTTTTACATTAAAAAATAATGTGTAGAATACTTGACACAATGGACTAACACATGTATATAAGAGCCGAGGTGGCGCAGCAGTTAGAGTGCAGTACTGCAGGCCACTTTAGCTGACTATGTTCAGCAGGTCAGCAGTTCAAATCTCACCGGCTCAAGGTTGACTCAGCCTTCCATCCTTCCGGGGTAGGTAAAATGAGGACCCAGATTGTTGGGGGCAATGTAAATATATATATACATTGCTTACTGGTGTATACCGCTTAGAGAGTGCTTGCACTTAAAGCGGTATATAAGTCTCATAAATAAATAAATAAATAAATAAATAAATAAATAAATAAATAAATAAATATGCTATACTGGCATGGATAGGATTTACACTGATTCACATATTTACTTGAGAACATGCGTAGTTTGCTTTGTCCCTATTGAATATCGTTCTCTTTTAGCAGATTATAACAATCTGTTTCACATGCAAGTCCCATCAGCACTGCTTTTCTTTCAGCTTTTGGAAGTGGAATCCTGGATGGCAGAAAAAGGATTTCTACTAGAAACTCCAGATTATGGGAGAAATGAAGAATCAACTCAAGCACTGTTACGTAAAATGGAAGCTACAAAGCTTGATCTGGAGGGATTTAAATCCCGAATTGAGAAGCTGAAGGAAACAGGAGACTATTTCTTGAACAGTAATAACCCAGAGAGGTAGGTGTCCATAAACTCTCTAGAGGAGAATCAATTACTAATACAGTTTCTGTTATTTTCAGGATTTCTTCAGACATTATTTCATAAAGCCCCTTCTGCATGCAAACATTTGTGCTATTTGAAAAGTGTAAATTTGTTTTATCACAAGCATATGAATTGTAAAACTCTAAGAACAACCCTGTAACTATTTGATTAAGTTGATAAATTTCAAATGTGAACTTATCAAATAAGAATCTGAAATCTTAACAAATTTCTTAATGTCACAATAAGGTTTATTGTGTTTTCAAGAAGATCAACAGGAAAAGTTTTCATTGACTTGTATGCACAGATACAAATGCAGATCCCCTTACCTATGGCAGCTGTTAGTTGCATCAGATGGGGAAATGTTCAAAAGGCAAGAGAAAAGAAATTATAGCTTAGCCAGTTGCAAAACGTTTCTGATGTCTAGCAATAACTTCTTAATAGAAAATCCCCAAAATGCTATTAAGATCGGGTTGGTTCTAGTGGATATGAGGATGTAAGAAGCTGTAGACACAACCAATAACATGAATAGTGCAAGTGTTACAAAGCATGGGAAAACAGATGAAGAGGCTGGAGAGATATGTAGAAGTTCTTGGTTACAACAGAGATATGGGGTTGTTTATCTCTTAACAATTTTTCATATTTGCATACTTATTTAAGTCATCTTCAGTAAGCTGGATGGGAACTCCTTTGTAGTTGGAATTTTTGTATAATGAAACATATGTATTCATAGATAAGCAGCTAGGAATAACAAACCATGTTAGGATTTCCATATATATATTCTGGATGACATAAATTCCATAAAAGCAATTTCATTACTTTACTTTTAATTCTTACATATTGCAAGAATTTAAAAAATTATATACATGTTACCCTAATTCAGATTTATGAACATAAAACATCAGCTTTGTAATGTATTAATTCATACAATATTTCTTTTGTTATTAGTTTTATTCTTTTTTAACATAATATGTGAAAATACAAAAGCAAATAGTAGGGGACAACAATAGAAAAAGGGAAAACAAGAAGAAAGGGCGGGGGGACAAAAGGCATTGACTTCCGACTCTCTCTATTGCTGTAAAATCAGACATTAAAATCAAATCTCAACTTTTTACATTTTGTTTTTTTATAAATATTTTATTCATTTTCTATTATTACAAATCATAAGTGTTTAGTAAACAACATGATCTCCGGATATATTTGTTACTCAGTGTTGCATCTTAACCTCTTCAATATAAATCTGTTCAACCCAGTGGTTTTTTTCCCCTGATCCTCTCTTCTTCCCATAGTTTTTTTCATTTTCTCAACATTGAACAAATACAGTTCTTACTACTATTAATACATACAAAATTAGGTATACACATCCTCTTCATATTTTTCTAGTGTTATACAAATAACAATAGTATCAATTTACAACCTCTTTTCTAACCACCTTATATTTAAATTGTATTTACAATTAAAGTCTCCTTAATAAATCAATGTCCTATTTTTCGAGTTCTTATTTAAGTTTAATTTCAAAATATAATTTGTCATTTATGATTTTCTCAAAATTAGTTACATTTGTGTAGCCAGAAATTTCATTTATATAAGCCATCCTAGTGTTTTTATAATTACCATATCAAAAGAAAGGATGTGATTATGAATCATATCTTTTGTATTATAAAAATCTATTTATATCTATGTGCTATCTATTCTTTTTACCATATTCAAACCAATATTGGATCATATAATACCCATCTGGTATGTCAGATCTTCTGTTGTTTTTTTTAGTCTACTGTAACTCTAGCTTTCTTCCTTCCTCTATTTTTGTGAATATTGTTTGGAATGGGAAGAACAATTTAAGTAGGATATTTTTGAAGGGGAATTCCACCCAGTTGTATTCATTAAAGAACTCTCACTTTCCTTCTCCCTCAGTTTCTCTTTTCATTTTTTGTCTCCCAATTTCTAGTATTTCCCATAACAGCTTTATAATCTGTTTTTTTAAATCTTCTTTCTTATCGTCAGGTATATTTTGAAAAGGGTGTCTTTTCCATTTCCATTGTTGTAACTAAGTCTTACAGATTTTTATTTATCTGTGCCAGTTTATATTTCCTTTCTTTTATATCTTGTGTCTTTGGATCAATTTCCTCTAATTCATCTACTGTTTTCTGATTGTTTGTTCAATCTTTGTAGTCATTTTCTGGGAACTGTATAGTTGTAAGTTTAGATTGGAGATTTGCTCATTTATATTGTCAAAATTATTTTTAATCTCCTCATGGTTTCTTCTGGCAACTTCTTTTTGTGAAATAATTGTCTCCTGAATTAATTGTAGCATAGAATGTATTTCCTTCTGGAAAATGTTTACTTCTTCTTGAGGTGTCACTCCTGCAGCTCTCTGGCAAACCTGGATGGAAGTATTAAGTATGTTTTCCTATCACTTTTAGCTAGATATAAAGAATGCATTTTCCCCCTACAGATATTCTATCAGAAGTGTTGTGATCCTCGAATATTAATCTTGTCTAATACCACCAATCTTAATGTTCATAGAACAAAGTCTTGTCTGGTTCTTCTGGTCTTTGTATGTAGCCTTTATAATCCAATAGAATCCAGGATATAAATCCACCACTGAAAGCAATATTTTGTAATAGTCCTTCTGCTCAAGCATCCAGAAATTGTCAATCAGATGAGATTTACAATCCAAAATGTTCAAAATGTTCAACCACCCTAAAAACAATCCAAAAACCTCCCCCAGACAAACGTAGCCAGAAGTCAAGTTTTTCTTTCTCTCCAAATAGTTCTTAAGATTAAAAATCAGAGCTCAGTATATGTTTATAATCCAAGAAGGTCAACAGGTTTCAAAGCAATTAAGTTCTCACACTGTAGTAAGTATGCCAAGATATTTTTCTCTGTTGCCATCTGTTCTCTGTTGAATTAAAAGTCACCAAACAACAAAAAAGCTAGGTTGTTATCTCTTTCTAGGCTTCTTGCCAAGTCTGCCTCAGTCATTGCAGCTGTGGTGCTATACTCTCATCCACCACTAGATGTCATTCAATATCCATTTTCCGACTCTTAAAACAGAAGATTGATTTCTTGTATTTTGTCCCAGTATTTTTTCAAAGAGAAAATCTTAACAATTTTCTCAGTTCTCAAATTTATCAAAACTAAGCTTTATGTTACTTGCAATTCAATGTTAAATATTTCTGTCTCACATATAAAAAAATGCTGCTTCCATTCCTCTGGAAGGGTGGGGCTGCAAATCCCTTCCTTCTCTCATTCGGAGGTTTTTAGCTTCTTGGGAGCCTTTTCCATGAAATCCGGTTGTAAATTGTAAAGAAAGGATCAATATTCTCACTCAGTTCCAAACACCCTGTTTACAGTCTGTAAATTAGTGCTTTTTTCTTGGGTTGTCAGTAGCTAGAGGCTGGCCACAGGAATGCAGCCAGTCTTTCCCCTGCCAGTTCGGAGGGCTTTCCTCAGATCAAATGGATTAACCACAATCTTTCTGTGATCAACGAGGCACCCCTCCTTCTTCATTGCCTCTTCAGGATCACTTTTAGGTCCCTCAGCAGGGCAAAATCGGGCACAGAAAGCAGAGCCTTGCCTTACTGCATCTGTGTTGCTATGACGTCATACTGGAAGTCCCTCAACTTTTTACATTTCTATAGTAGTATGCCCTAGCCATTTCTGTATCAGCAAATCAGTCTAATCAGTAAAACCCAAAATCATGATATCATTTTCTTGCACCTCAAGCACAAAGTCCAAAAGTGGTTTCCAAGTAGAAACAAAAGTACTTATGTTCTTTTCCTTTATCAGCACAGTCAATTTGGCCATCTCTGCTAATTCCATTTATCATCCATGGTAGGAATCAAGGCATACTTCCACTTTTGTGGATAGAGCAATCTTGCTGCTGCCACCATATAAAAAAAATCAGAGTTCCAAGGTTTTTTTTTCCAGTTCTCTTTCCAGTAGACTCGGAAGGAAAATTTCTGCTTTAATCTTTTATGTTCACTTTAAGAATTTTCTGCATTAATATATGAATCCTACTCCAATATTTCTTTGCCTTATCACATATCCACCTTAAATGATAAAAAGTTCCTTCTTTACATTTACATTTCCAACATTCATTTGAAATACCTTTATACATTCTAGATCAGGCATGTCAAACTGCCAGTCCGCAGGCCAGATGTGTCATATCGAAACTGCACCCACCCCATTGACAGCAATGGGGAAAAAGTCACAATACGTCACACGACGTTGCGAGTTTTACATGCCTGTTCTAGATAACTTATCTGGTGTTAAATACCAGCGTAATTCATACAATATTTCTGATGCTTGCAGGCTCAACAAAATGACAGAATCAACCATAACAAAAGAAAAAGCTTTATTATGCATTCAGTCTTCTTGATTGATAATTTCTTTGTTCAGAATCCATGTTATTATTTAAGTCCAACTGACTTCTGTATGAAAACTCCATGCTCTTTTATAATTTTACCTTTGATAATCAAAACTTGAAATTCTACATATAGGAAGTTAGGTAGGAATTACAAATATCCCTTCTGATTTATCATGAATATGTTAACTTAATTATTTATGTAGCTGTCCATCTTTAACAAACCCTGGGAAGCTTGCAATCAAAAACCAAAACAACATAAAAGTCATATTAAAGTTATAAAAACCAAGCATATTAAAAACAAAAACCTGGTACCAAGTCAAGCTTTCTGTATGCAGTTACCTCATCTTATCCTGAAGCTTGGATGCTTTCTCTATGAATAGAATGCCATTAGGGTATTAAAAAAAGTGGTCATCCTGCTCAAATTTAAGCATGCTTGGGATTTCATCTGGAATTAATAAAAGCCCTGAATACACTGTACTAATTTTGCAAACAATGGGTTGAGCTGGAATCAAATAATATTCATCCACATCTTATATATATGTATACTGTATGTATATTTTCACATTTCAGACCATTACTAATATTAGAAAGACAGACAATAGGTAATAAATATAAATGTTCAATTTGAGTTAGACAAGAGCTGTATATGAAAATTGCTGGGAACATGGATAGTGATATAAATGAATGATGTTATTTTCTAAACTCTCCTCTCTGTCTATGTCTGTGTCTCTGTCTATCTCTCTTTATAGTTCAACTATCCTGCCCAAACTCCAGACTGTTTTAGAACAATACTTGTGTCTCCAGGATAGAGCAGAGAGACAAATAAAAGCTTTGCAGGAACAATCTCAGCTGCATCACTTTGAAAGGGAAATCCAACTGGTGGATGCTTGGCTATTGAGCAAACAGACTATGGCTGAATCAGATAACTATGGTCAGGATTTGGAGAATGTGGAGGTAAAGCAAATGTAGTCCTTGGAATACCTCAACTAGATTATTTTATATTCTATAGTTCCTGAAGTTCCTTAATTATTAAAAGTTACATGAGATTGACTAAAGATAGCAGTGGTTCACATATGCTTATTATTATTAGTTGTTAAGCATACACTTTTTTAAAAATGCTGAGTGACTTTCCAAGCCCTATTCATATTTTTTTAATTATCTCAAGACTAATATCAAGAAATAGGAGGAAGATTTTGAATAACTCTGACTGCTACTTCTTTGTTGGTGCTATAGGTGCTAGAAAAGAAATTTGAAGATTTTATGAAAGAGGTAGAATCCCTAGGCCATAAAAAAGTTCTCCTGATAAACAATCTAGCATCTCATCTTAGAACTGTGTGTCACAATCAAATAAGTCACATCCAGAAGAAGACCCAGGATATCCATGACAGATGGGAGAGATTGCAGCAAGCTGTCCAAACAAGAGCAGAGGTGAGCTTCCTGGTATCCAGATGGGCTCCTTAGGACATGAATGAGCAATGTACGGGTTATATGTCACATACCACCCCAGTCCTTTGTTGTAGTTTTTTAAAAAATTAGATCACCCAAGATTGGCTGAATGATTCTGAGCTTCCCTATTATACAGTTATATTAAGTAAAAGTGTTGAGTTTTTAATAGGCTGTATATATCTTTTTGATCTTCATATCTCTCCCAAACCTCTGAATATGAAAACATTTAGTCCTGACTCTCCAATTAACAGATTATTGCTCTATCCTTTCAAAGACCAAACTTGTTAAAATGTAGCCTCTGATGCCCACAAAATACTCCATTTGCATTATGGCAGTGTTATCATGATTAAAAAATGTTGATTATACTTTATGAGTTACTATATATAATCAAAAATTATGGGCAAGCTGATCTATGTAAATTGAATACAAAATAACAAGGCAAAAAATATGATGTGATTTTACTGTTCTTGATCATATAATGCTGTTACAAGTACCATTGATATTGCGTGTAGTGCTTGATAGAAGCAAGACTTACCTCTGTGTGATCTTGTACCATTAGAATAAGGTTTGTTGATTGGTAATGATTGTGTCAAAAAATGAAGCACGTGTAACTTAAAACCATCAGATATTTAGAACATAATTTATAATACACAAAAGTATGATACTATAGCAATGTTAGTCAGTATCCCTCGCTTGCATCTGCCTTACATCATGAGCACTTTTAAACTGGTTTGTTAGGGACAAGTCTTACTGAAGCATTTTTCCCTTCATCAGAATCTCAGAGCAGCTCATCAAGTTCATCAATATGATCGTGATGTGGATGACCTAAAAGGTTGGATGCAGGAGAAAGAGGCTGTTGTGACCAGAGATGATTATGGTTATGATCTACTTGGAGTTCAGACCCTCCTTAGCCAACATGAAGGAGTGGAGGTAAGTAGAAACAGTCACTTTGAAAAAACTGACTTCATAGATATAATTAAAAAATCTGACATTTCAATCTACAGAATTTCCAGTGATGGGATTTTTGTTCACAGCCTTAAAGAGATTGGCTACTCTCTTACTATAAGCTCTTAATAGCAATCTACTCAGGGTTAGTTTAACCATTTATTTTTTATTTATTGTATTTCAATAAATGTGAGAGATATTTTATTTTTTAAGAAAACTATAAAATCATTCTAAAATAGAACAAGAGTAAAAGAGTAACGATAGTAAACAATATAATAAAAACGAAGTAAAACAGAGTGTAAAGATATGTTAAAATCAAAATATCAAAGAGAGTTAGGACTACGGTACTCTTTTCTGCTAAATCAATGGACTTTCTTCAAGTCCCTGAGCGGGCAGATTGCTTTGCCCTGGCCGATTATCTCTTTCATCCTAAAAAGTTTATTTTGGGACAAGTTAAGGAAATCGACTGATAGATTTCCTGCTAGCAGGAGAAATATCTATCCTTTGCTTTCCTAATGTAAGTAGGAGAATAGGTAAGTATTGACCAAGCTTACAATAGAACGTTTACATTACCCAGAAGCCCCTTCCTTTCTATTAGGCTATCCATGGGTGCCATCTCACATGGGTTCTTTCACTGTTCTCTCTCTCTCTCTCTCTTTCTGACTTTCTCTTTTGCTCAGATTGTTTCCTTCTTCACATTGTTTGAAACTGTATTATTGACAGGGAGGGAAAGGTGATTCAGATCCATCTCACTCTATCTAGTAAAAAGACATGAAGCCCTATTGCAGTGTTTCTCAACCTTGACAATTTTAAGGCATGTGGACTTCAACTCCCAGAATTCCACAGCCAGCAGTGCTGGCTGTGGAATTCTGGGAATTGAAGTCCACATGCCTTAAAATTGTCAAGGTTGAGAAACACTGCCCTATGGGAAAGAAGCAAAAAAATGTGCCTTGAATATTCCAAGCTAATTAGTTTTCCTTCGTGTATTTCAGAGGGAACTAGTGGCCATTGCAAAAGAGTTGGAAAGGGTTAGAGGAGAGGCCTGCCGCCTGGGCTGCCTCTACCCTCTGCCCAGGGAGAACATGATGAACAGACTTTCTGAGGTTGATGAGTGCTGGGAAAAACTGGACAAGAAGTGTGTGGAAAGAAAGCTGAAATTGCAGCAGGCTGAACAAGTCCAAATCTACTTCAATGACTGCAGAGAGTTGACGTATGTATGAATTAGCCCGATAGAGTTTCCTTTCCTAATATTAAAGGCAGGGGGGAGGGTACAGCAAATTTTAAAAACTTTTGGATACATGTATACCGGTACTATACTTATCTCTATATATTCAATGCTTTTGAATATAAGACAGTGGAAACTATATTTAACATTTTGAGATATATATGAAGTATTTACTTGCTATGTACCCAATGTGTCTCATATGGTAATAATCCTACTTTTTTATTTTCTGGAATTTTGGCAGAGCCTGGGCAAGAAAGATGCATTCCCTGATTGTTTCAGAGGAGGTAGCAAATGATCTTCTGGGAGCTGAATTGCTTATTGAACGCCACAAGGAATACAAGCTTGACATAGACAAACAATGGTTGAAATATGAAGATTTGGAGCAAATTGGAAATAATCTGGTGAAGGACGGGCATTTTATGTGCATGGAAGTAAGCTACTGATTAAAGAAAGCAATAAGTTGAAATAGCAAGCGTAGCTATACACATAACATGGTTAATCTGTTTGCTTCTTATTATTTTATATTTCTGCATTTTCACCATTGTTGTGAGGTACTTAGAACTACAAAAGAATGTACTTTGAATGCTTTAAATGACTTGAATCAATGAATTCATTTACTGGCATTAAAGCAGTTGAGTGAGTGAACTATGAACTGCCTTCCTGCAACCAAATTGTGTTTGCATTAGTAAATAGGATAGCATAAATTATTATTACTACCTACAGAAGGGGAGGGCTATAGGAAAAGGAGCTAAGACAAGACAAAACTCATGATCAAATCTAGGAGTCTTCTTTCATCAAAGCAGAAGAGTTTGCATGTTTGGTTTCTACACTTAATTTACAAACATGCCAACCTTCCCAGCTGGGTTCAGAAAGTAACTGTAACCTAAGAGCAAGAAAAAATTAGGAGCAGGACATCAAGATCTTTGCTAACCCAGATGAAACTAATGGAGTAGGATATTAGTCATTGAGATATCAAAGCTCCTTTTAGAATGTGCTAGGCAAGAATAAGCATTAGCATGTATGTTAATGGCTGCATATCTTTCTGAAAAAATAAGTTTTCAAACCCTTTTACTCTGGGTTTGTTTCCTGAGCAGATTCTAAACAACTGCAAATCCTATGCATTTACATTTACTAAAAAGTTTGTGGTTGCCTCTCTTTCTGGAGCTGATATTCTCTCATTTTCTTATAGGGTATGTCAGGAGAGAGACTATTCTTTCAAATAGGCTTCAAAATATTTGGGCCTTGATTCTGTAACTTTTTTATAGTGCCATCTGAAAAAAAAGCTAAAGGCTTTTAAAAATTTTAAAACTGAGGACTTCATAACTTCCCTTGAAAATTGATAAACTGTATGCCCCATCATCAAAAGTCAGCAAAAAACCCAAGTTTCATACTCCTCTTATGCCAAACATTCAGAAACTATATGCCAACGTTGACAGTATCCTTTATAAACTGAAATATGACTTAGTTTCTTGACGCAAATGCAGCTCTGTCTGCCTGACAAGATTCCCAGTTCATTTAAATTGGAAAATTATGGGAAACAGTTCAACAAATTAGGATATTAAGCCATTGTTTTAATTGGGTTTAACTTACACTACAATGTATCTTAGTTTTACACAACATAAGAAATGGTTCTTGGAGATTTTTTTTCCTACAAGGAAAATTAATTTAAATGGTAAAGCCAGCCTTCCCTAATCTGACATTGTTCAATTGTGTTGAGAGTGCAATTCCAAAAATATTACCTGGAAATTGCAGTTCCAACACATCAAAAGTTGGGAAATACTGAGGTGGTTAATTTAACTTGTTTTACTTTTTAAAAAATTACTCTGAATCTTGCTTCTAAATTGACTTCAACAAATATCACCTAATTATTGCACTTGCATTTCTGATATGGATATACAAATGATTCAGGAAATTCCAGTTTAATTTTATTTTCAACTGCAAGAATCACTGTCTTACCCTCTTTTCAGAGTGATTTAGAGGATTAAAATAGGGATGGCATAAGGCATCTAGATAAAGTTTCAAAATAAATAAATTGATCTTGTGAACTAAAAAAAGCACACACAGGGTAGGGAGAGAATAAGATGGTAATTTGATATGACACAACCCAGTCAGACTCAAGGTCTCCAGATCTAAACACAAAATGTGATCCTTCAGAGTGTATCAAGAAAGAGGGAAGAAGAGAACAGGATTTGTTTAAAAAATTCCTTATGGCCATATCTTAATAACTTCATAATGACTTTTATAATTATATTCAGTATGTATGAATTGTAAAAATAAGTCAGGGGGTAAAAATTGTTAAAAAATCTTATTACTAAATATGAATTTTTCTGGCATTTTTGGGAAACCATTCTATTTGCATTTCTCAGGATAAAAAAAATTAAAAGTTATTGTAACCTCCAAAAACAAATTCGTCAAGTCCTCAAAATATTCAGCTTGCTTTAATATCTTGGATCTGTAGGACTTCCAGACAAAGATTATATTGTACAATTGATCTGCCTCATTTTTGGAATTTAAAGCCAAACCTTATGTTCATACTTCTCTTTGTTCATCTTCTTTCTTTCTGCCATGGCAGAAAAATTAAAACAGCCACATTTTGCATCAGCTTAAACTTCCAGTTATTCTTCAAGAGCAACTTCATGTAGGCTATGTTATACTAACCCATTCTACAGGTAAACGGCATAAATAATTTTCTTTGTAGTTCAGGAAAATGTGCAACTGATGTACAATTCAAAGTTATGCAAAGGTCCTCCTATCCATGACTGCCACCTGCTCCTCAAGCAGGAATCATAAGTATAGAAAAACAGCCAAATTGCACACAAAATTTGTCTGGGCCAGATTGTGAAGCTCTTATCCAGAAGGCCCCAAAACCAAAGCCATTCAGTCTTGTCAGTGTTCAGCTGAAACCTGTTGTTCTCCTATCCATATGTTACTAAATTCATTTGTTGTTATTTTCTCAGTTACTTAAAAGATGTGATTAAAGACTATGGCTAACTATACTCTTTGTTGCTTATTGATTGTTGGCATTTAGTGGGTATTGTATCACTTTGAAATTCTTTTGAGAGATAAGCCTTGTTTGGGGGGGGGGGGAGACCATTTCACTACTGTGCATAATTTAGGATTGAATTCCCCAAAGCAAAATAGCTCAAGAGGTTTCCTGGAAAGATTCCACAAATTCAGCTTACGTAATAAATGAGAAATGAAATGATCTATTTTTGTATTTTTGTTCCCCTCCTTCAATTTAAATATGGGAATTTGTTTCTCTAGATCAAAGAGAAACTCTCTGAATTATTGGAGCTAATGCAAAAAGTGAGGGAAATCTGGAATATGAAGAAAGACTTGTATGAGGAAAACTGGGAGATTCAGCTATTAAAAAGGGAGCTGGACTTTGCTGAAACCTGGTTGACAGCTAAGGAGAGTTTTCTTTCAGATTCAAATTATGGGGTAAGTAAGCATAATATAGTGCAAAATGCCAAACTCAAACCTATCCCAAAACAACTGTATCACTTCTGAAACATTTTAATTACCTACTTTTATTTTTTAGCTTTTCCCCAGAGCACTGGGAAATTTCTTTTGAATTTCTCTTATTGCTAGAAATAAGGAAGGATGCTATGGCTGGTTTCTATTAAACATCTTTCCATCACTTTGTATTTTTCCCAGCTACCATTCTGCCAAAGAGTAGAGGAATTTGTGTCTGATTTATAGCCTGCCTTTTCTTCAGGAACGCAAGTAGGCTCCCTTCATTTTTCCCTCAACAACTCTGTAAGATTAGTGCTGAGGCAGAATGAACAGCTCAAATCCATCCAATGAGTCTTCGTGAAAGCATGAGACACAGGCTTATGGCCAGTATTGTATAATACTGAAAGAATTCTCTCCCCAACCCCAGTGACAGCAAAGCTGACTCTCTAGGTATGTAGCAATGTTGCCATCAGGAGAGAGAAAAACTCCCACTAGTATCAATGCCAGCTGGATGGGAATTTCTAGTGAAATTGCTGCAGTCACTGCAGGCTGCTGAGCCAATAATTATAGCTACCCTGCCCTTCCCCTAAACAAAATTCCTGCAAAATTGAATGTTCTTGTCATATATAGCAAGTAAAGACACAAATCTTGTTGCCTTTCAACACTCATATTCAAAATATAACCTCATTAATGAAGAAATGGAAGAAGTAATCTGTGCTTCATTAGTGGAAAGCTTCATAGCCATTCCTCACAACCAACTTGGATGTTTCTTTCTCCCTACTCTGTTTTTTCCTCTCTTTTTTCTCTCCAATGGCCTTTTGGTATTAAATAATTGTATTTATTGACTTCATTCCCATAGAATTCTGTTTCTGATGTTAAACATCTGTTGAAGAAGCATCAAGATTTTGAAAAAATGCTAGAAGCCCAAGAAGAGAAGTTTGCACAGTTGAATAGAAAGACAAAGGTACTGTGTTAAACCCAAGGAAGACATGTGGTGGACAGACTATATATAAATACATTTCATCATCTTTCCCAAACCCATGTGGTTTTTTTACTTGAGCTTAATAATAAAGTGGCAATTCATGCAAACCTGTTTTTTACATAATGCTTGGCCTTCTTATGGTTATGTATGGATTACTAAGTGCAACAATAGCTTTTTTAAAAAAGAAAAGAGCAACCTTCTAACCACAGAGATTTAAAATACAGGAATGACAGAAGACCATCTTTAGGTTTTTTTTCCCCTCAGTTGTCTTGCACATGTGCACTTTGCTCTTCATAGAGTAGTAAGAAAATTACAGAGCATTACATCATCCATCCTTCTCATTTCCAGTGGATATCTGTGTAAGTAGACTTTCTGGCTCTGCAGACTTTTCTTTGCAGATTATGGCTGCCATGTGGCTATCAGAGGCAGAGCCAGAAGTGCTACTTTTGATGCATGTATGAAGAGGTCTATTGTACCATAGAGGTGATCTTGCCAGGAAAAAAATACAATTTAAGACAATGGCAGTTAAGGAATGGATTGATCTTGTCTCGCTCTGATGTTTTTTTCCCTTAAATCCCAATTTTCAAAATTCTTACTGATCTTTGCTCCTTCTGTGAAATAGCTACCATGGGAGATTATCTACAAAAGCACCAAAATCCCTCTGCCAATTTTCCAAAAGTTTTCTTCCTTTGCAAAAGATGAATGTTTTTCCATATCATTCTGAGAATGCTTTACATTTCTTTGGGTTTGTTTTTAAATTGCATTTTTTTTCAAAGTAATAGAGTACTCTAGTGTGGTTAATCTTATTCTCCTTGTAGCCTCCATGACTTCTACTTCTCAATATTTGGCCAGTAGTATGTAGTCTATTAGGAATGAGTATTTGACAAAAGAAGCAAACAAGACTGTTTTTCTGCCTACATTGTTATATATAATTGAAATCAGGAAAAATATAAAAATAGGCTCAGTGCAATGGCAAAGGATTACTTAAGAGATGTGAGTAGGAAAAGAAGACATAGATAATCAATGGATAATAAGTGAGCATAGATTAAATACAAAGGAGAGTGATGAGCATGAAATTACATTGCTAATACAAAAAGAATAAATGAAGATCAAATTGCAAAATAAATATCTGAGAAAAGAGCAAGAGGAAAGGGAAGATTGAGAATGTCATGTTTGGGGGGAAAATGATGAGATTTTCAGTTAGAGACAAATTTAAAATAAAAGACAACACATGATTCACTGCCTGGTTGTAGTGGAAGCAAGGATGGTTTGCAGGGACCCAAAGGTAGTAAATAGGCTTCATATAAATAGTTGTTTAATTAGATTTCCTTTTCTCTTATTTCACACCTTTAATTTCTTTTACCCACTATTCTGGACTCTTTGTTTCATTTTGCATAAGTCACTCTGAAAGTGTCAGTGAAAATTGCCAATGACTATTGGTGTACGTTACAGCCAAAGAAATGGCAATAGAGACAAATAGTGGTGGTAGTAATATAGTAGTAGTAGTAGTAGTAGTAGTAGTAGTAGTAGTAGTAGTGGTGGTGGTGGTGGTGGTGGTGGTGGTGGTGGTGGTGGTGGTGGTGGTGGTGGTGAGACTAAATAGTGAACCAGTGGAGCTGCTACAAAATTGCATGTTTTCTTCAAAATGGGAAGGAGGATAGGCATGAAAATTCAACAACCGGAGTCCATTGTGGTTTTCCCAGTGGTATAGAAACTATGTGAGACATTTGTAACAAACTTACATACAGGGGTGAACTCTTCCATATTCATGTGCATATGTGTTCAAGGAATGAATAATTCTATGTGCAGAACTTTAAATATCATTTGATAAAGTGGCAGGAAACTTGCAAATTTCATGTACTGATGATAGAGTTTCAATAGAAAGCAGGAGCAATCTTTTGTGTGTCCTTCCACTCATTCCAAATGATTTCTTTCAGAGAGAATTGAAGCTACTGAGACAAGTGACTATAGAAGAAAATGAGCAAATGACAAAATTGATCAAAGTCCCCTCACTAAGAAGGCGACATTCAGATAGAAGAACCACAATGCTTGAGCCAAAGAAAACTCAGCAATTACCACTTAGGTCCTCAATTTCCAACTTAAGAAAACCCCTCAGTGTCTCTCCTACCCAAAACTCCAAAGAGAGTTTGCACCAAATCAGTTCTGAAGAAGACTTGATCTTGATAAATGATTCTCCTGAACCAAGAGTGCTTGGCTTAGAAAATTCCATGCCAGAAATGGAGAATTCTTTATGTCCTTCATTGACTTCAGACTTGAATATCCAGCAAGCTGATGTTGAGGTTTTAGAGTCACACACTCGTGATTTTAATCCGTCAGATGTGAAAAACAGTTGCGAAACTTCTAGCTCTGAGTTAGAAACTAGTGAAATGAAAACTCTGGATGGTCAAGGATCCCCTGATGATTGCCAAGGTTTTCTGCGCTCAGATTTAGCACCAGAAGGATCAGAAGCTGCTTCCCAAGTAAGTTATTCCCTTTTGTGTTACCCTTTTGTTGACTGAACATTGACTTCATTACTTATTTTTATATAAAATAATCATGCTGATTCAAAAGAAACATTCCATAATCAGGTGATGCCTTTCTTCAGAACAGCCAAACGTACTGCCAATTGTGAGCAATATTTTGCAATTTCATATTTCATTTTTATGGGTCAATGTCCTCCAAGATTATATCACTAAAATTCAGCTGCAATCTACTAATGAAACAGAATTTCCTTTCAATTTTCAGCAGTAAAAGTCACCAAAAAACAGGTACCATACATGGGTACCTCTGTATCCCTACCCACCCCAAGGCAAAAATTCTGATCTTAACTCCTCGATTTTGTAATTTGGTACCATGCATAGCCTTCAGCCATCAAAAATCAGTTAAGGAATAATGAAAATGTTAGTCGTTGCCATAAAAATGTTGTTTCATATTAAGAGAAGAGAAAGAGACCTAAGCTGAAATAAACTACTTAACTTTCCACAAGGTAACATCATTCTAAATTTCCTAGTAGGCATTCTTAGAACTGCAAGTTTTAGGTTCGTCTAGGACTGCACAGAAAATGATTGATCTCTCAATATTCAAAACCCAGTATTTATTTATATTTGGTTCAAATCTTAGACAAAATAGTTTACTTTTATTCTTTGCATTTTCCAGGAAAGAGGAATCATGAACCATTACCAGTCATAGGTTCCCATCCACTCACAAAATAGATTGTTTCTTTGTCCTTTTGTGCTTGGTACCTTTTTTTTTTTTTTTTTTGGTGGTTTCATGAGATTTTTTTCATATAAGGAGAACTTTCTTGGCCTCACTGATTAATGCTGCAAAAGTAGCTTCATTGGCTCTGATGATTGGCCTAAGGCAGTCTGTGCACCTATTGTCAGTACATCTGATTTGCCCTACTATCCATCTACCACTTTAATGATAAAATATCAGGACTGAATAAAAAGGCCGGCCAAGAAGACAACATGATAGATCAGATGCATTCAATTTACTGTATTTTACTTTGTAGTGGTCGTGGGGAATTCATTTTTCAGTGGGAAACGGAATGGGTCAAGGGAAACTAATAACCTGGGATGTCCTGGTTGCAGAATGGCTAGTTGTCTGAAATTGCTTGAAGTAATTTTATATTTGCTGAATATTAAAGAAAACTGCTACCACAAGAATAAATTAGACATTTTTCAAATTGCATATAAAACACAGTAATCTTCAAAGATCCATCAGAAGCATTCTAAAATCCTCATTCTTAAGCAACATTGTTTATTAGGATCAATCATATTGATACAAAAGTGTGCAGAGAGATATGTATATAGTATCTAGGTGCAACTTCTCAAACCAAAGACATCTTTTTCTTCAAAAGAGGTGGAGTTCCTTTTAGGAATTATAGATGTTGCTTGAGGCTCTGAAGGTTTTTTGCATTCAAATCCAATGTTGAACAGCATATTTATACACATGTGCAAGCATGCACCAGAAAGACAAAGACATGCATATATGCACAAACTCTAAAGATCAGGATGAATGGGACCAAAATCAACTTGTCATTACAATGTATGATAGAAAAAGACAACAACTGTCGTCTACTTTTCATAACATAAAGCACACTTCTTTAAACATACAGTTTTTAATGCTACAAATCTGCCATTTCTCTTTATTTATTTATTTATGAGACTCATATACCGCTTTAAGTGCAAGCACTCTCTAAGCGGTGTACACCAGTAAGCAATGTATATATATATTCTTCTGATTTATGGCATCTTCTAACATCATCCAAACATCAATAAGGCAAAATATAACTTATCACCATTAATCTGACTTTAGCGGAAAAGTGGTTAGATTAGTTGGATTATCCAATGAAACTTTATAAATCATTAGTTAGAGTAGTGGCCCAGCCAGAGGCCTCTAGTATGTCAGATTGCTTCAGTAATTCAGTCTTCATTATTCAAATACATAAAGATTAATATTTCCAAGACTGGAGACTTAATTATCTACTGATTTTGTAATCCATAAAAAAAATATTTCTTATTCCATCTCCTTCCAACTGTAGATTGTCTGCATGGCATTTTTTCTGTCATATTATTGTAGAAATTTATGAGTGAATTATTGTATTCAAGCTTTCATCATAACATATTAAATTACTTGAAAGGTTCTTATGCATTTCAGATTTCTGCAAATCAATACATTATGGCAGGTTTTCTAGAAAAGAGAGACCAGGTCCTTTCAAGAAAAAAAGAGGTAAATGTAAGCAGAATACCTGCATGATATGGATGAAAAGTTAAGATGGAATATCCATGCCCTTAATATGGCTAACAAATTGATATGTTGTAATGATAAAGATTTATTCAGTGGATAGAAGACCCAACTGCACTTGCCACTTATGAGCAGATACCTGCTTATGCTTATAGGTTTTTGACTTTGTAGACTTTGTACAGACAAGTATAATGAAACATGGGGCTCATTTATACAAAAAAGATGGTTGCATAAATATTTTCAAAATCTACATATTTAAATAATATTTACATTTGAGTATATATAGAGTTGCAAATGTTTAATGTTATAATGAAATATGTATTAGAAATATATACATGTTTGGATAACATTTGCATTAGATGAGTATATATAGAATTGTAAATGTTTATTATAATGAAATAAGTTAGGTATTAGAAACTTATACATATTTAGAAAATATTGCATTAGGCAATATTATATATATATATATATATATATATATATATATATATATATATATTTGTTTTCTGAGGTTTTTGCGGGTGTTTGTATGTAGGTCTTTGGTTATTCAGGTTTTCTCCCATGTCAAATTGGAAGTGTCTTGGCGACGTTTCGACGAAGTCTCATTTGTCATCTTCAGGTTGGTGTTTTTGGCTTCGTGCTTCTAGAAGCACAAAGCCAAAAACACCAGTCTGAAGATGATGAATGAGACTTTGTCGAAACGTCGCCAAGACACTTCCAATTTGACGTGGGAGAAAACCCGAGTAACCAAAGACCTACATAATTATATATATATATATATATATATATATATATATATATATATATATATATATATGATTACTTTAAAAATGCGAGTATATATGTATATAATTACTTTAAAAATGCGACTCCCGGGTATATTCATGATAAAAACTTCTAAAAACGTGATCACCGAGACTAAAAACTTTATTACATACTTAGCTTTTGTCAGCGACTGCTGACGTTGTCAAAGTATAAACCAGGATCTAGGAATGCATGACAGTGGGGGGAACAGTCAGGCAGCGGCATCAGATGATCGCACGCCACAGGATGAACATTCTCGGTGGGCGGGGCAAGTGGGGAGAGGCAGAGTGGCAAAATTCAAACAGGTGTCAGCCAGCACTATAGAAATAGGATTGATGCAGCCAGTTGTGGGTGGGACAGACAGACCTATGAAGCCAAATTGTTGGCTTCTCAAAGACTATAAAAACAAGCGTTCCTAGATCCTGGTCGCAGTCGCTGATGAAAGCTAAGTGTATAATAAAGTTTTTAGTCTGAGATGTTTTTAGCAATTTTTATCATATATATGTTTTGTCGTTTTTTTCTCTTTCTTTATTAATTTAAAAGCCAATAAAATATGATAAAAGAAAGAAAAGTTAAGGTGGAACACAATTAGCCAGAGATTACATGGTTCAGGCACATCTAGAAACTGGGAGATTGTGAATTCTGGTCTTGCCTTAGGCATGAAGGGTGCCTTTGGGCCAGTCTCTCAGCCATAGGAAAAAGGAGATGGCAAACCACTTATGAAAAACCTTGCCAGGAAAAAATTCAGGACAACTATCAGGAGCCAGTGCTGACTTGAAGATGTGTCAAGAATTTTGTCAATAGTAGTAAAGAAGCAACATTGTGGAGCAGGATCGTTGTAATCAGGGAGTTATAAACTTTACCCCTCACTAAGGATAGTCTAATGGTTGTGTATATGTGGACCCAGATACACAGACAGAGAAAGAGGCAGGCTATAATTGCAGCAGAAGATTGACTGTGTTCAAAGAGTTCAGAAGAGTTCACCCTTCATTAGATTAATTTCAGTTATTTCAGAATGGAAGCAAGCTACTAATGGATGAATAATTCTAAATAATTACGAGATTGATCCGTGCACAGTTTGGAAATAGTTGATTTTATTTTATATTATTTCAGCCAAAGACAAGAGCTTGGAACACTTTTTATGTTCAGCTTCAAAGACATAAACTTGACTTCTATAATGATGAGAAGGAAGTGATTCAGGTACTTTATTTTATAATCATTTAGATCTTAAATATCCATTGCAGTCTCACTGAAAATCCTTCTCCACCCTTTTTTTAGCTAGCTAAGACATGCAGTTTGATAAATGACTATGTTTTCTAAAACCATCTACTGAAATTCCTATTAACAGAAATCAAAACTGCTGACTCAACAAAATACTTGATTAAAATATTTCTGGATCAAATTTAAAATACATCTATAGATTGAATGGTTGATTGTCATCATGGTCCTTGGCAATTTTTCTGGAACAATGTGTGACATTGCCATATTTTCTAGAACAATAATTTTGAAAGTTACATTTTGAGAAAACTATTTAGGCTACAGAAGTTTCCATGGCATATTTGAGGCAGCTCAGTTATTTTCTTTAAAGTATTAACCCAAATTGCTAAAACTCATTTCACCTACTACAAGGTTCCTTACAATGAATAAACATTCTCTTGTGCATTTGTGCATCAGAAATCACATTTGTGTATCACAAATGTGGGTAGATTATAACGCACAGGCCCTCCCTCCAAAATGCTTATTTCCCACTACACAGATTTTTATTTAAGAATCATCTATATAATTTTACAGTTTTACTGTTCTAAAGAATATGGAATCAAAAGGATGGGATAGAAAATCTTTGCTAATTTTGTCTTGTCTTTCCCCTTTCTTAGAAAATACTTCCAGACTTATCACTTAGCATAGCTGGAGCCAGGTGTGAGAGGCTAATGAACTATCCCAGGAAACAATATGCTTTCAGCTTAAGGTAAAATACATCACTGTTAGTTAGAATAAAATGCAGTGCTCTCATTTTCGTGAGCTAAATACTGCTTAGCTTACTGTAGAATGATTTTGTACAATTGGATGCTGCCATCTGCACCATAAGAATCAAAGTGAAAATAAAAATACCCACAGAATGTGAAAGATGTCACACTTGTCAAGATCAGAGAAGTAAGAAGTTCTTGGCATTGCACATCCCAGCTCTATAAATGTTGTCATTTGATGGCAAAAGGACTTCCCTTGGTTCACAAAGGTTAAGCTATTAATCATCTTGAAGCATAAATTCCTCTATCAATGCTCTTCACTAGACTAGAATTCACTAAAGCATTATTGCATTTAACAAAAGGGAGAAAGTCTCGGGTCTGAAGTAAGTTATCGATTTTATTTAGGAATTATAAGACAGAATTTATCTGAAATCAGTGCATGAGAAGATATCTTGGGCTTTGCTGAATACAAAAACTAGCATGTGTATTTGTTTTCTGGTCTGCTAATGTTAATAACATTTTTATAAGAAAAAGAATTGAACTTTTGGTGGGTTTGTTTCTGTATGTATTTTCTTGTGAAGATATATCAGTTAATATATTGAATACATCACTTCTGTCTTCAATATACGGTTTACAGAACAAGTGATGGAGCAGAATACTACCTTGCAGCATCTTCTGAGAAGTTAATGGAGGATTGGATGCAAGCCTTATGGAGTAATTTAGGTAAATCAATGTAGTCTTAAGGGGTCAGGAGTATCTCAGTTTGCCCAGAGAACCCTTACAAAACAAGAACAGAAACAAAATATTGGGCAAAAGGATGAACATCAATGCTAAATTTTCAGATTCTCCATAGCAGTATTTTTTTTCTTTTATTCCTTTGATTTCTTATATGGATTCCTCAAGATCATAACAGCAATCAGAAGGCAGTTTTAATCAATGTAAATGTGGTGAAACCTCAGATAAAACCTTGGATTTCTGCAGCTGGAACTTCTACACATAAACAGACTAACAAAGATTTCCTTCTGAGGTAGGCATAGATTTCTGTTCATTCAATTATATTTGATTCAATATATTAAGTTCGTATCCTTCAAAAAAATCCAGATAAACTATTGCTTGTTTTTTCAATGTGCTCAACAACATTAGAATACCAAGCATCATAGAGAGCTTTGAACTTTGAGAACAGGACTTGTGTCACAGCACTAAAAGACTAACAATTGTTCCATCTAGTTCTGTTTTGTTGAATAGACAGTTGTAGACATTTCAGTTCAAGAAAGAAGAAAAGATGAAAAACTGCTATGTTTTTATTTCCTTATGGTTTTGCTAAGTGGTTGAGCACATGTTTATTTCTTGATGTTAGCTACCATGAAAATACTTATAGCTAAAGGTAAAATAAATAACACTGTATTTATGCATTTTAAATTTAAATCCTTATCTACATGTTCAGTAAAGGAAAACTAACTGCTGCCCAGACTTGCATTTGTGAGATGGGTGGCCATATAAATCCAGGGCTTTTTTTGTCATAGAACACCCAGAACGGAGTTCCGGCACCTTTTGTGGATGGAACCTTGTAGGGTAGGCAAGGCGGGTTGAATGACGTGTGAGTTCCGGCACCTTTTGTTTTTACAAAAAAAAGCAATGTATAAATCCATTTTATTTAATGAATTAATTCTGTTAATACTGTTTGGTAATAGGAGAACTCCTTCCTTCAAAGCTAATCGAGAAGAAAGGCTCTCTGGAAGTTCTGTTAAATCAGAAATATCAAAGCAAAATTACAAAACTCTTGCTCCGAATTCTAAAGAACCTGGTAATACCACTGTACTGGTTTTTTTTCCCTTTTCTTAATATATATTTAATAAAATAATACATAACGCTTATTTAGAGATGAGAGATGCTAAGAGTTTTATAAAATAAAAATGATGTCATTCTATGTTTAGTTTTTTTTAAAAAATCACTATAATCAGTTGATGACAATTCACTTTGCTTTTGTCACTGATTATTATAACATAGAGGGCATTTATATCAGTTTAGAATGGAGTGTCATAATTTTCTCTGTGATGCATGCATAGTTTTGAGTTTGGGATCAGAACAGGTCATTTATGGATTGCGTAAAATATTAAAAGATTTGCCTTCTTATTTTTAATTCTCATCATTTCCCCTATTATAAAATATTTAATGAAAATGAGTTATATATATTAATTTATTATGGGATTTATCTATGCAGTGCATGTGATAGTAAAAAATAGTCAAATTTTATCGATTAAACCTATTTTAAAAGGGGAATGTGAACAGCAAAAGACATAAATCAGGCCATCATAGCTAGTGTTCAATCATAGGAATGCAAGTCATCAGACCAGCTGTGTGGCTGACTAAACGTTTGATGATTGTCCTAATTTTGCATTTTCAAATAACAGCAAAATGATGATATAAGAATAAAATGTTTTTTTAGGCCTCACCTATCCTGCTTTCGTGGCAAAAGCATTATTTAATACAAACTCTTCATTCTTGGTTTGTAACTTTAAGAGAACAGTACAAATTCAGAAATATTTCTGCTCACTAGGGTTTTTATGCTGCCTAGAATCACCTTGTAGGGAGGTGGGTAACATAAAAATTAAACAAAGAAACAACAGGACTATAAGTTGACAATTCTGAACTAGAAAAGGGCTTAGACTTGATATAAAGCAGTTTCTTTAAAGCTCTGCTTAGAAAAAGTGAATATACTGGATTTCTTTCTTTTTTTCTCTCTTTCTTTCTTTCCATTTCTATAGCTGCCCATCTTTTTAAAAAAACTTTGGGTAGCTTACAACCAATAAATTAAAGCTTACGATGCATTGATGCAAAATATACTTTCTACCACTGAGCTACAGTCATGTCACTCAGCAGAAAGGTCATGAGAGAGTAGAATTCAATTGGCAGCCGTTTTTAATTGAATGGTTTGCCATACAGGTGTTGTAAAATATCTGTTTTATTTTTTTATACAATTTCTATTGTCTTCTGTTTCTATACAGTCTTTCTCATCCAATACTAATACTTTTTTTTTTTTCAGGCAGCGGAACTGAGCCCATGGTGAACACAACAAAGTATGTAGACAATCCTGATGCTGCAGAGAGATCTGGAACACAAACAGATGTCAAGAAACATAAGGGGATTTTTAAGCATCTTTTCAGGAAGAAATAGAAGCAATACAGTTTGCTTGAATTTCCTAGAGATGCTAGGTTCTTCAGTCCATTGAACCCTATTGCCTTTACGATTAATTTAAGAGGTATGGCTGAAAAAGAAATGTGCACATTATCTATTGAATAAGCATCCTCCACCAAATGTACATTCATATCCCTCCAATATTTCTGCCAGAAATTATAAACAATTATCACGTAAATTATGTAGCACCAGGTATTTATAATTGCATGCATCTGAAAGCCATGAAAGTTTGGAGTTAATATTGGACAATTGTGAGTATATCAGTGCTGTTACCCTCCTTAACATCTATAGGAGATTAAAAAGAGGGAAATAAGAAGTAGGATTTCTATTTAATGAAAAACTTTGGTTGTATGAAAAAATGCACTACAGGTATCTCTGAGCAAATATTTCTTCTATGCAGATATGAGGACTAGAGAAGCGTCATAACCTTGACAGGACAGCTTCTAATATTGGGAAAGTCCTGATTATTGATTTATAAAAGGATACATCCAATCGTCATTAGGTAAAATTAATTAAATCTATATCAAGTAATAAAAACAATTCTGCCCATCATTTTGTCTACATTTTAAAAAACAATACTTGAAAAATTGAAGTAGGTGACACACCAGCACAAGAAATAAATTAGTATGTATTTTCAAAGTTTGAAAACTGTTTTCTAAAGAAAAGATATAGTATAAAAACCAGATTTTATTCAGGTCTTTCCTTAAATTAATAAATATATTCATGCATTTCTCAAACAAATCCAGAAAGACACAAGGAGTTTAATGTATTTATTTTATTATGAAGTAGTAATCGCTGTGTACCGCTACATACATTTTTGGTTTCTTTTCCCCCACAGTAATAGCATACAGAAGCCTCTGGTAAAGAGAATTTTTGAAGAATAGTAGCATTTTCTCAGATTAATCTCAAAAAACTATTTTTTTCATTCTACAATGGATAAATGAGTATATCTTTTTCAAAAAAAGGTTATCAGCAGGTGTCATGGGAGAGGGTTCAATAAATTAAATCACAGAAAATAGCAAACCAATAGCTGTTGGGCAATAGCTACCAAGAATTAAGCTTCCATAGTTGAGTTTTAATCAGATCTTCATGATAAAAAGATTGTCCTTCATTTATCATTATTCCAACCTGAGATAACATTTGAGATTTCAGCATTGTCATTAGATATTAAAAGAATAAATATCTTCAAGAAGCAATTATATAGAAAACCGTACAGAAATATATTAAATAAATGTCTCAAAGCACAGATACTTTCAATAAATTAAGATAATAAACTAAGCTATAGGCTCATGTTTAAAAGCATATAATTAGAATTTGATTCAGTATCTGTTGAATTACACCAATGTGGTTTTAGAATTTCAAACAAATTAATACCAGTGGTTAATCCTTACATTGCCTTTCATTTTTTTAATTTCTGAGTTTTAATTCAGAAATAAGTCGTATGAAGTTTACTGAACTTATTCCCAGATAGACGCTGGACAGTACCTGCTTTAGTTTGTCAAATGGTATAATAAAACAAAACAATAGCTACAATACTTTTGCCAACTGGTCTGTTACCTTGTATTATGATCCATCACAAACATAATGTTAGGATAATAACTTGATTTTGCTTTTCAAAATACAACAGATTAGTGAGAGTGACATTGTGCTATTGTGATCAATTTCTCTTCTATGAGGCTGTACCGCTTTCCACTTCCTATTTAAACAAATATGCCATTGGATAAAACAACTGTCTGAAAATAGTTGAAGAGCCACCTACTGTTTACATAAGTTCACAATAATGTATAGTTGATTTATTTAATTGCTGAATGATTTTTTTAAAAAATATTTGGCTAGGTTCCTAGGCTATGCTAACCCAAAATCAAATAAATTGTATGACATAGATCTCTATATTGCTAAATGAAAAGATGCCATAATGATGAAATTTACATCGTGCCATCATGATGCAAGTTTCCCTCTTTCACATCACAATGTGACAACAGAAATTCTAATATTCCCTCTGTCCTGAGAATGCCAATGTTACATGGTTTATAAATCCAATCTAATTTTCCATGCTTGATAGGTATCTGGTCTTAAAGTATCAAGTGGACACAATTTAATTCCTGGAACTAAATCTAGATCTCATTTCTGCACTCAGACAAATAATTACAATACCTCTCCAGCATGACAAGAAAGCCAATTACAAATACACACCAAAAAAAAAGGAGTTGCTGAGTCTATATTTTCCCCCAAACTTAATTTTGTTGCAAACAGCAAAAAGAAGGTTCATATCAGTTTGCACTGAGGACATATATTCCTTGTGTTATGTGAAGTTACAGACCTAGACTAAAAAAAAAATTCAAGAATAGGCAATAAGGTATGGATTGAAACTGAACTATTAATGAATTATTAGACATTAAGACTGGGAAAATGCATAAAGCAATACCCCCAACAATTCCATTTAAATAATAAAATAATTTTCATGTTGAACTGCTATCATTTACATGTGAAATGTGTCAATCATCTTAAAATAGCAAAGAATAACTCTCATTTTACAAAGTAAATGTTTACCCTTTTTTATACACTGCAATGACTTACAGCTGGTACTGAACAAAGTGAAGTCAATTCATGCTTTTCTGCAAATGTTAAAATCCAATCACATCAAATCATGTCCAATACAGTAGTAGAGGATAATTTCTTTTATAATGTTATAAAGAAACATAACTGTGGTTCAATTACTTCAGAAAACAGTATGTCATCAATTTCAGTCAACACCATCTCCTAAATCACTTCTAATAGTAAATGTTGGATGCCGCTAATAGATAATATTTGAATGTATATCTTTTATTGATCTCACCTTTATAAAAAAATCAGAAATAGAATAATAGAATTATAAGTACTAGGTCTAAGAGAACAACACTGATCAGATTATAGCTTGATTACACAGGCACACAAACTAGAGTTTACCTGAGGCAAGATGGCTATTTCAAAATGTAAATAAATAAGGAGTTTACAAGCCATTGGGCTTTCAGGGTTTAGTGACCATAGTCTAGAGAACAGAGTTCCTGATGTTTCGCCAACAACTATGGCTGGCATCTTCAGAGACAAAATGATCCCTCAACCTCCCTTAGCTGTCACCAGCCTGCACCAATTGGAAACCTGGTCTACTAAAGGTGAATTGGTCAGGATCGCTGTCACTGCCTGCTGGCCACTTTGCCTCTGAAAACACAGCTGCTGTTTAACATCAGAACTTCTGTTCTATAGACCATGATCTCAAAACCCTGAAGTCCAACAAATACCAGCTGTGAAAGCCTACAGCAGTATAAATCCACTTGCTATATCAGTCAGGAGTGAGAATTACCCAAGCATCCAACCAATTGCAGCATAATGACAACCAATTAACATTACCACAAACAATGCATCATGTTACACATTGGATTTCTTCTCTTTAAGGAGACACATTATCATTGTTTAGCATTTCTGGGCCCACTGTGTCGCTTTTTCTGTATAGCGTTTTGAATGGCTTGGAAGATGAAGTCTTTGCTATTAAGAACATTGTAACTGCATAAATTTATTAGTTTGTCAAGGATTTCTTCAGTGTAGGTTATTTCAAGAGTTTGATAGGGTGAAGTGCCTTTTTCCAGATTGACTTTGCCTTCTTTCATTTCTGAAGGAGTGCGTTTGACTCCTGAAAATTAAAAAAAAAAGTGAGTGAGTGCACCTTATTTGAAGCAAAACAATGCACAGTAGGTAAAGATTTAAAACATTTGGTATTTGGAAGCAAAATAAATTGGTCTTATATCAACTTATCTATTTTGTACCCTCATTTTCTGGAACTGATATAGCAATGGCACATTGATAGGCATTCTTCATTTTGCTGAAGAGTTAAGTTTAGTTAAAATTATGTACTATAGAGAAAGCACTTCAGTTATGGAATATTACTGCAATATGTCAATAAAAATCCAGGTAGAAATCCCAAGAATCATGTTTCTCTGGGGACCCCCTTTTTCCAATGAAGAAAAAAAAGGAGCAGTTTTTTCTGTAAACATTTTTTTTAAATCTGTCATAACCCAGAATATAAAATATTGTTTCCAACCTTGCCCTGACTGATGTGCACCATCTTGCTGGTGAAATTAACAGACGTTGCAGAGCATGGATGAAATTCTTTTTTTAGCTATTAGTGCCTGTGAAAGAAATATCTTCAATTGATAATTACCATGGGTAGCCTTTCAAGTATTTAAAGGATAATTTTTAACAGCCACAAATACTTTGCAGGGCTGAGAAATGCTTTCCAAATTTAGATCTTGGTGGCAATATAATAGGAGATTCTTTTTTTAAAAAAGCAAATTGAAAAGCTACTTCAGAATGTAGCTGAAATTAAGTATTATTACAGCTATGCCACTATTTCTTGCGTGACCTGAAACTGTGAAATCCTAAAACAGCTTAAGGAATGGTTAGGCAACATGTCCTTTTCTCCTGAACTTGCAAATCTGGTTCAGTCTGAACACTTTCCAGAGAAATAAAACTGCACATTTTGAAATGCCAAGGGGTAGGTGGGTGGGAGAGGAGATTGAAACTTTCCAGAACTACTCTTATGATTTGAAGCTTTTGCATAGAATATGAAAATATTTGTAGGGAATCTATACTATGCTGTTTTAAGAGTAATCTTAGGAGTGATACTTAGACCATCTCACTGAGCCAAGTAACTTTTTTATTTTTTTAAGGCAGACTTTTAAAGCAATATAAACCTATTTGCCTCTGATCTTGTGGTTGGAAGCCTTACTATTAACCCCCCCCCCCAATATTCTTTCACAGTTGTAGTATATAACTCAAAAGTATGAATGCCTTATTCTGAAGAGTCCCTGTCTGCTTGTCTCCAGTTAACAGATTGGAGCAATGAGAATCTTTGCCTAATATTCTTTCCATATATTCCCATTGGATCTAAAGAGGAAAGTAAAATTTTACATGAGGTCCATTATGGACAGTTGTATGCATCCACCCTCCTCACTCTGCTACATTCCTATGCTCACATTAACTGCTCATGATGTTTTTAGGAAGATTTTTTTTATTGTTCAGCTGTTTGGTAAAATAAGGGGAAAAGCAGAGTCTTACTGGCCAGAAATGAACAATTCAGGGGCTGTATATAGTTTTCAAGCATCCCTATAGCACCCAGTGATCTGCAGAATTCAGTGAAAAAGAGCCAAATTTTGGTGAGAATAGAATTGGTTTATTTTTGAGAGATCTCCAGCCCCCTATCCATAGCCCAACAAAAAGCAGTCTTCAAAATTTCAGCCCTACCCTTTCTAGGCATCCCTGGATGACCTCCAGAATATCAAAGGCAACCTTCCAACGCCTTAAATGGTGCTCATTTATGCTTAGGGAAACCTCCAGTTGCACTAAATTCCAGGGAACTTCAGTGTTCTGCAACAGTCAAATAATAGATTCCACCCTTGACTTCAGCCCTGATGAACTCACTCACAGCCACAAGGAATTATTATTCTACTGTTATTCTCTGCATACAGCCTATTGTCCTATGGCAGGGACAGAGATTGCAACAGAGAGAAAAAAGATTTTTTCCTCCACCATTGGTCAGCTCCACTATTTGCTCTTGATGACCTCTCTGCTTAAATATGAAAAAGAAGTACTAGGATATCTAGACATAGGCATCCACAATGAACCAAAACCACATTAAAATCATAATGCATGAGGTAATATCATGACACAAATTTCATCCTTACAAACTTACATCCTAATGAGATTCAAGGAAATAATTTGCTGTGTTATGATGTATATTTTATCAGTTTCCCCCTTTGCTGTCTTTCAAGAACCAATACCAGTTTGGGTTGCTGAATATATTTCAGGTACAGATTTAAAGCCTGGAACTACCTAAGCTATTTTTAAATAGAATAATTCAATAGTGTCTTCTTCTAAGTGTTTCTTAAGTTGTGTGGACATAAGATGTGTGAACATGCTGGCTGGGGAATTCTGAGAATTGAATTCCACACATCTTAAATTTGCCAAGTGTGAAAAACACTGCTTCAGCTGATTAATATTCAGAAAACAGAACAATGTCTGTGTGTGCATACATAATTAATCATCACATATTGAATGCAAAGTGTAGCTATTGCAGAAGGGATTTCAGTCAACATGTGTGAATTAAAGAAATCACTGAAGGAACTGCAAATGCTTAAATCAGAAAATTGTGTAACAAGTGCATCAGCTGAATTTACCTGGTGCTGAGTATTCTATGAAGGTGCAACAGACCAGTGGAAAACAAAGCACTATTGGTGCACTGGGATTATCTTCATCTGAGAAAACGTAGCACTCCTTCAAATCCTTTCGCTCTTTCTCACTCAGATGAATCTTTGGAAAGGGAATGCCTTGGATTTCACAGTAATCGGCGGTCTTCTTTAGTTGCTGAAGAAAAGACCAAAAAAGAAAAATCTTCCCAAATATATTCATTTTGCTTTCCATATGTAAATCAGAACCTCCCCTACCAAATAATCTGTAATTGTCTGTGATAAGCAGAAGATTCAGTGAATGAATGAACGAATGAACGTTTATTATCAAAGTATAACATGTATACAGTGAGATTGGCTGAGCCTCCCTCCGTGCCCCCCCCCACAATTCACAGTGATTACAAACCCCCCAACTTATTACACCCTGTGAGCTAATTGCACAGCACGCCAGCCTCACAAGTCTGTCATGCATAAAATTATGTCCCATTCAAGAGCCTGGCAGCCCATGGATAAAAGCTGTTCTTCAGTCTGTTGGTACGGCTGACTATGTTTCTATATCTCCTACCCGATGGTAGGAGAGTAAAGAGATACCAACCAGGGTGTGAGTCATCCCTGAGAATTTTCCTCACTCTACCAAGGCAACGGGCCCTGGCGATGTCATTCAGTGGTGTCAGGGAACAGCCCACGATATTTTGTGCTGTGCTCACCACCCTCTGTAATGCCTTCCTGTCCATGGCTGTCAAGCCAGCATACCAAACCACAATACAGTGTGTGAGAATGCTTTCAATAGTAGACCGGTAGAAGAAGGTCATGAGTCGTCGTTCTACCCTGTGCTTCCGTAAGACCCTGAGGAAGTGGAGTCTCTGTGGGGCCTTTCTGGCCACCTGGGCTGTGTTAATTTTCCAGGTAAGATCTTCACAGAGGTAGACTCCCAGGAATTTGAAGGAGGAAACTCTCTCCACACAGTCCGCTTTGATGTAAAGTGGGGCAGGTTCCTCTCTTTTCCTCTGGAAATCTAACACCATCTCCTTTGTCTTGCCAATGTTCAGGTGCAGGTTGTTTTCTAGGCACCATGAGGATAGTTTTTGTACCTCCCCCCGTACACTGTCTCATCTCCGCCTGTAATAAGACCCACCACAGTGGTATCATCTGCAAACTTGATGATCGCAGTGGACGGGTCGGATGATACACAACCATATGTGTACAATGAGTACAGGCAGGAGCTAAGCATGCAGCCCTGTGGAGAGCCAATGCAAAGCTTCAGGGAGGTGGATAAAACAGACCCAATCCTCACTGTTTGTAGCCGGTCCCTCAGAAAGTCTTTAATCCAATCACAGATGGAGGGGGAAAATTCAGGTCAGTCAGCTTTTCAATAAGGATACTCAGCAGAATAGTATTGAAAGCCGAGCTATAATCAATGAAAAGCATCCTGACATAGCTTCCAGATTTCTCCAGATGTCTTGCTACCAAATGTAAAGCAGTAGCTATGGCATCAACTGTCAACCTATTTCTTCTGTAGGCAAATTGATGTTTATCAAAGTCCAGTGGAGGCATGTCCTAAGATGTCGGAGAACCAATCTTTCAAACCATTTCATCACTACAGATGTTAATGCAATGGGCCTATTGTCGTTCAGGCAATTGATCGCTGTTTTCTTCAGAACTGGGACAATGATAGCTGCTTTCAAGCATGATGATACACAGGCTATTTGCAAGGAGATGTTAAAGATCCTTATCAGGACCCCTGCTAATTGATCAGCACAATTCTTTACCACAGACCCCAGTACCCCATCTGGGCCTGCAGCTTTGCTGAGATTCAAAGCCTTCAATACCTCTCTCACCTGGTGTTCGTACAAGGTGAGTGGCTGAGAATCAGAAGGCCGGCCAGCAGGGGTTACGCGGTCTGGTTCATTTGCCTCATAATGAGCAAAGAAGATGTTCAGCTACTCTGCCAGCGAGGCATCGGTATTCACCGTGTTCCACATATTGCCCTTATGGTTGGTTAAATGCTGCAGTCCCTGCCACACTTGCTTTGGGTTGTTATCTACTAGGTGGTTCTCCACCTTGCATTTATATTGTTGTTTCGCCATCCTAATGCCTCTTCACATACAGTACCTTGAACATACAATTCTGTTTTCTCAACTACTTTTGTACAAGGAAAAGGAGGAAAGGAAATTCTAGATGAAATTTCCAGTCCAACTGAAGTTTGAACCACAATTCAAAGTCCACACTCCAGACAACTTCCAATTGGTTACCCAACATATTTCTTCTTTCTTTCTTTCACAAAAAAAAGGAAAGCAGTATTAGAGAAGCCTGTTTCACTCACTATTGTCTTTCCTTTTCTTCCAGACTAACTACATACTTTCTACATTCAAAATGGAGCTCCTATTAGATATAATACTATGGAATTTAACAAGTTATCCTACAGTTTGAAGAGATTCACTTGGAGCATGCTCTCTCTCTCTCTCTCTCTCTCTCTCTCTCTCTCTCTCTCTCTCTCTCTCTCTCTCTCTCTCTCTCTCTCTCTCTCTCTCTCTCTCTCTCTCTTTCCAGACTATCTCATCTTGAGGTGTTTTATTTGTCTCAGTTGCTTGAACTCTGCCCCCCCCCCATCAGCTGTGTTGGTACCTAAAAATGATGTTCAAATATGTTCAACTATCATATCCTTTTTATACTAAAATAAAGATGATCCTTTTTTGTTTCTTGGGTTAAATTGAAACTATCTGTGTTCTACTTATCCACCATATTGATAAACTTGGTGTCTATGGTATAGCTGAACTATAATTATAGATCTAAGAAACTCTAAAACACCTTTCCATCCTGTAAGCACACAAGCATTCAAAAGGAAAATAATAGTGAAAATATTTTTTCTCACCGTTAAGATTCCACTCATCTCATAATCCAGAAAAATAATTATATCCAGATTCCTTTCTGGCTTGAGAAGTGATATGCCACTGTTGTTCATAAAATATCCTACATCTATTAAACAGAGGGAACTTGTGTTTGGAGTCAATTTGTTAGAAGAAGTGTCAAATATGGTATCTGAAAGACAATTGATAAGCATTTTTTCCAACCAACATGAATGATAACTCCAGGCAGTCTTTCACCAACAAAACCTGTGCTGCCTCACATAGTCTGAGAAAGGAAACAATGATAAGAGACATGATTAAGGTGTTCAGAATTATATATTGTGTGGATAAAGTAGAAAAGGAGAAGCTCTTTTCCCCTTCCCAAAATACTAGAACTAAAAGTCACTAATGAGATAGAATCTTGGATGAATCTTGACATTTTTATACCATACATAATTAACTTTGAAATGTTATATTACAAAATGTGCTGCTCATTACGAGCTTGGCTGGCTTCAAAAATAGGTTTGACCAATTCATGTAAGTCATGTGGGCCAATGGCTATTAGCTTCAATGGTAGTGTGATTGCCTCTAAAAGCCATCTGCTAGGAGACTAGGGAGCTTCTTCATGCAGGTTGGCTATTATGAGAAATGACTGCTGAAGTAGATGGGCCAGGAGTCCAATAAGTTTAATTCTCATTGAGCAAACAGTGAATTGCATAGCAATAGCAACACAAGTACTTATGTTTAAATAAGCAAAATATAATCTAAACTATATTATTGGAACATTGGTGAGTTCGGAATCTTATTTATCCAAATGATATATATTTAGCTTGTTCATAACATTGTCTTCAGAAGAAGAAAAAAACCACAGTTGGTATATAACTCAATCATAAAATCTGTTGGCTATTAGTCTATTATTCCATCCAACAAAATATTTAGGCACTCTATCTTATGTTGATTCCAAAGCCAATGAAAATATTCCCACAAAACCTTTCTTTTTACAACCGTATAATCCCTTAATTCAGGGTAGAGTCGAATTGATGGGATGGGTCTGAGTTTTTACTGGACGGATGCCCTTCCTGACACCATGTGGTGTTCGCAGCAGATATTTTTTTTCTTTGCACCCTAGAAGAGGAACACCTGCTGCTATCTAGGATTGAACTCTCAACTCTCAAGTGGGAGAGTTCACTAGTAGGCCACCATGCCACTCAGAAGTACCCTCACATACCCACACAAACAAAAACAAGTTTTGCCAAGACATTGCAAATATTGCTTTATGCATATAGCATATTAAAAGCTGAATTCTGAACACAATGACAGATACACTCAACACACAAAGGAATTCTGCCAGCTTCTTACCCATGGCTTTAATAGTTTACTGAACAGCTTTTTATTATTAATCATTAGAGATTGATCCTAAAACTATAACATTCTGAATATTGTAAAATCTTGTGTGACTCTATTCCTCCCCAGTTAATGTTCTGAATGCTGTAATTATCACCTCATCACATTGCCATCAATGTGTAAATAAAATAGGCCAATAACCATTTTAACAATATTAGACAAATTCATGTAGGAAAACTATATGACATTACTTAGCAATCATTGTGGCTTAATCTAACAGGATCAGAATATATTTCTGATGAATGAATATGAAATACTGAGAAACAGGTAACCAAATGTTATTGCCCTTTTGGCTGCTGGTGGACTTTCCACAGCCATCTAGAAAGTCCACCAGCAAAAAAAAAAAATAATGCTTTGGTCCAATCCAGCAAACTTTTCACATTCTTAAGAGACTACACAAGTAATGTCATTGTTTGGCTTAATTAAGAAATCTCTGAAACAGACTATTATGAAAATGAAACATGGGAACAACTCCCATTTGTTCCAAATGTGTAATGATCAAGAATTGTTTTGTGTATCATTGGCCATTGGGAATGTAAAAACGGAAAACCATTCCAGAGCTAAAGGAAGGCCAAATTCAACCTTTTACATGGTCATTTCCTGACAAAGAAACAAGATAAAATTGTGTGTGTTTCAATAAATATTCCCAAGACTGAAAAAATATATATGTGATACTTTTTTTCCTCTAGAGAAAGTTTTTATATAAGGGAAAGTTATCCAAGAATGCTGTAGATCGTATGTCTTCCCTAAGGTGCTATTTCTGTCCCCTGCAGGAAGAATAATTGGAAGTCACATACCCCCAAAACACCTTTCTTACTATACCACTTCTATAATACATGAAAAATATTCTCATCTAGTGACGTGTCGTGACATGTCACAATGTATCTCAACTTTTTTTGTATTGCCGGAGCTGGAGTGGGCGCGGCTTCCGCATGATGCAACAGGCCCACAGGCCAGCAGTTGGACACCCCTGATCTAGATCAAAGATCATCTTTTAAGGAATAGATACCACAGGACTATATAACCATCTCCTTCATAACTCCTAGTTATGAAACTGACTGGAGATATTTCCGAATTGATTCAATTCTGAACATTTAGAGTGTTTCTAGAAATTATCATTCTCACTTACCACTCCATCGTATGAATTCTTTCTGATGCAGATAATCTTTATCAAAAGCAAAGCTTTGCAGGAAGTTATGATTTTCCCCACTTAAAGGACGATTAGTTAAAATGTCATTGAAGATTTCACAAAGTTTTCCACAGAGATAATTTGGAGGTTTGTAGACTGTGGCAGGATAATCAATTGAAGAATAATTCTCATCTGAAACAAAATGTAGAAATACTTCATTTATGGCTACTTTTCCTTTTGTTTCCAAAATATAACATTTCTGGATTACTGGGGCTTTTTTTTTTTAATATAGCATATTCCATTGAAAATGGTGGCATCAAAAAGGAATGTGCCCTGCAAAAACAGACACAGATCTGAGTCACTTAAAAATGAGCTCTTCTCCTATCACAGGCTTAGCCTGCTAATTAGCCTTTTCTCTAGCATTGATTCCAGATGGATCTTTTCATATCTATCACCTACATATGAACAGGAAAGTAGACTATAAATCAAAGTTGTGCATAAGGAAATACTAAACAAATAGCTCATTATTATAATTCTATAAGCACAACACCATCACTCTTCCACTCTTCCTAAAGAATAGGCATATAAGTACAAGTTTCTCCAAATGTGTCATTGTTGCTGTAGTTTGGGGCTAGGAGGCAACAGTTTCACTCCTGATTATGAGCAGGCACAGAGAAATTCCTTGTATCTGCTGAGGAGATATTTAAAAAATATATGACAGAATCCCAAGGTTTTATATATTCACATTTTTTTTTCATTATTATTATATGCATGTATTGCAAAGGTTGCAATGATCTATATCAATACGTAATCTAGAAATGTCATTTTCCTTAAACATCAAAATATTCATAAATCAAAACAGTCCCTATTTTCTTAACTATCTATAATTTTTTGAATAATAGGTTATAGTAACTGCAATGATCCCACAATTAGTTCCTATCTGGCTGAGTATGTGACCAGAAACAGAAGAGGTTAGAATGTCTCTCTCCTTTATTTTACTTTGTAAACGAACCAATTTTAAAAAAAAAAACCTCTGCCAAAGCAAAGAATAAAATAGTATTGAAATTCTTACGCTTTATTTCCATGTCTTTCACCCATCGTTCCCAGAATTCATCTGGTGTTGAGGTCCAGTATAAACAATCCAGGAGATTTGGACTTAAAATGTTAGTCCAGATACCTACAAGACATTGCATTAACTCAAATTATAGTCCATCTCAACTGTATCAAAAGATATAGACTCATTAACTGAGAAACTGTTATAAATATTTATTACTGCCAGCTAATTAAATACTGCAGAAACAATTTAGTATCCCAGTATTAACAAAACCATTATGGCTAATAAAATTATTGTGATAATGTCATATCAACTGTTAACACATTAACAAAGCACAAATATTGAGTTTAGCTAATGTACTATAGCCAAACAAATAAACAATGCATATTATGGTTTAAAATGATGGCACATTATGCTAGGACAATGGCTTGGTCCCCTAATCAGACTGAATACAAAGTATCCAGCTTCATTTTAATCTAAACTATTATGCTATACAAACTCAGTCATTATGACAAGAATAAAAATAGGTGACTCTAGTATAACACAGCTGGAGAACCTAAAGGAAATCCTAACAGGAGTCAAAAGCCAGGAATATCAAAATCAAAGCAACCACCTTTTTGCTAGATGTTTATCCAATCATCTTAGATTTGCACAATGCATCAATGCAATATATATATATATGAAAACTCGCCTCCACGAACGCAAACTGGCCATAAAACGAGGCAAACCACACTCACAACTTTGGATGCATATGGCACAACAAGGCCATCAGTTTGATTTCAATAACACCCTTATCGTAGCCAGTGATGCCACGAAGGGAGGTCGGCTGCTAAAAGAAGCCTGGTTCTTGAATAACAACTCAATCAATCGTCACATTGACTTGCACCCAGCGCAACAAGCACTACGAAAATGGAACTCAAACCATCATCCTTTATATCACAAACCTTACAATCAACATCCACAACATTCTAAACCAGGAGCTACACCCCCTCCCTACCAGGAACGATCTGATATAGACTACCCAGACACCTCCCAACTACCCAGACACCAACATCAAGGGGAACCCACACCCCCTTTGATTGGAGGAAACAACAATAATGACATTGGACCGCTTAAGAAATTTGAGGATAGAACCACTAAATTTAGCACTACCCATAATAATAAAGGTGAATATCCCATACAGAGAGGGGAGAAAAAACATGTGATGACGACCCGTTCGCTTGATAAAAGGGAAAGTAACATGAGCAGGGAGTCTGCCCAAATACCATCAGACTTTTGCTCACAGAAACAGGGGGGATTTAATTTGAATATTGACCTGCGAGGGAAGATGAGCATGGAGGACACTATGACAGAGGAGGATGATTCAAACATTGAAAAATACCATATTCAGTTGATGCTTGTACACGCGAGTGAAGATAAATACGGGAGCACGCAGCAGAGGAAAGATGTTAAATTGCAGCTGATGAAGCCCCGCTTCCATGGTAGGATACACAATGACATCGAACTAAATCCCCCCGCTGCAACGAGAGCCAGTGCTGCCGGGAGAGGGCGGAACATAGTGTTAACAATATCCCCTGAGATCGAAGGTGGAGATGTGAACAAAAGTGCTGGAGAAAACGACGGAAGAAATCTTTACTCCGATTCCCCCTCCCACCTATCAGCTGTTCAGCGGGGAACGCTAGCACGGTCTAGGAGCCACGCGCAGACATCTATGGAACCTGTTTAAACCACCTTATTAGAAACGATCTCTCAGCCCTGAAGATGTTGGGGAGTTTTCCCAACGAAAGCTTGGAAACCTCTTAATATAGTAAAATACTTTAATTAAAGTATTTTAACTTTAAACTCTCCTGGTGAACGCGCTTTATTCATTCTATTTATAATTATGCCCAGGAGTTGCAATTTCACCATCATTATTGAATATATATATATATATTAAGAATATATATATATATTCTTAATATATATATATTAAGAATAAGTGCACGCATTGAAGAACATAAGAACTCAGTCAAAAAAGAGAAACCAACTTCTTCCCTGGTCCAACACCTTAAAATCACAGGACATGAAATTGACTTTAAAAAGACCAGAACTATCGCCAAAACTGAACATTTTAATAACAGAATAATCAGAGAAGCCATCAAGATAGAAAAACGCCCACACAGCATGAACAAACGAGATGATACCTCCCACCTACCAGCCATTTGGAAACCAGCCCTTATTGACAAACAACTCCCTAACACAAAAAATGACACCAGACCTACACTCACAAAAACCACACAGGATGTCACCACCACACATCCACGTAAAAAGCAAACCCAAAACCACACCGATGATGAGGCACGACCACAAACCAGAAGCCAGACCACAGTTGCATCATTAGCCACTTTAAACCCCTCCAATCCATACATGAAGCAAACTGACACCCACCATGAAGATGAGGCACGAATGCGAAGCCAAAAAATAGCAAGGCAGCCCAAAATCTTAAACCCCTCTGCAACTCAGACTAACCTGAGCACAACAAAGCCCCCACCCAAACAGAACACTCCCCCAGCCAATCAGAGCACAGCCAACCCCCCAGCCAATCAGAGCACAGCCAACCCACCAGCCAATCAGAGCACAGCCAAGCTCCTAACCAATCAGAACACAACTCCCTCCAATCAGAACACAGCCAAGCTCTCATCCAATCAGTTCATACCCCCACTGGCAGTTAAAAGGAGGAAACAGCTACAATCACACATTGCTCCTAGAAGCACGAAGCCGAAAGCACCAGCCTGAAGATGACGAATGAGACGTCGTCGAAACGTCGTCAAGACACTTCCAATTTTACCTGGGAGAAAACCCGAATAACCAAAGACCTACATACAAACACCCGCGAAAACCTCAGAAAACACATGTGTGTGTGTGTGTGTGTGTGTGTGTGTGTGTGTGTGTGTGTGTGTAGGTCTTTGGTTATTCGGGTTTTCTCCCGCGTAAAATTGGAAGTGTCTTGGCAACGTTTCGATGAAGTCCCATTCGTCATCTTCAGCCTGGTGTTTTCAGCTTCGTGCTTCGAGGAGCAATGTGTGGTCTTAGCTGTTTCTTTCTTTTAACTGCCAATGGGGGTATGAACTGATTGGATGGGAGCTTGGCTGTGTTCTGATTGGGTGGAGGTGTGTTCTGATTGGTTAGGGGCTTGGCTGTGCTCTGATTGGCTGGGGAGGTTGGCTGTGATTGGCTGGGGGAGTTGGCTGTGCTCTGATTGGCTGGGGGAGTGTTCTGTTTGGGTGGGTGCTTTGTTGTGCTCAGGTTAGTCTGAGTTGCAGGGGGGGTTTAAGATGGTGGGAAACCAGCCTGACCAAAATCAACCCCGATGACGCTAACAGAATCAGACTCGAAATCACCAACATCCTCTGCACCAGCAAGCCACCCAAAAGCAACTTACCTAAAGAGGAACAGACAGCACTACGTAACCTGAAAGAAGACACCAGCATAATAATCCTACCAGCAGACAAGGGCAACGCCACGGTGGTTATGAACACATCTGACTACCAAACCAAATTAACCAACCTACTCCAAGACTCCACATACAAACCCCTAAACACAGATCCCACCACCTACCTGGAAAAAACCACCAGATCCAAAATAAAAGCCTCCCCCATTAGCGAAGAGATCCAGCAAAGAATCATTCCCAGAGAGAAATCATCCAGATGCCCCAAACTCTATGGTCTCCCCAAGATACATAAAGAAGGAATCCCACTCAGACCCATAGTCAGCTCCATAGGCTCACCTCTACAAAACATAGCCAAATTTCTTGCCAAACAACTACAGCCCTATGCAGAATCCATCACCTCATACGTAAAAAATCATTCCAGTTTATAGAGATCATAAAGAAACAAAACTTACAGCCCAGCGACCTACTCGTGAGCTTCGATGTCATATCCCTCTTCACCCAAGTGCCTATCAAAGAAGCCTTGACAGCTATCCAAAACAAATATACCCCCCCCAAACACATCTTAGATCTGACCAACCACTGCCTATCCAACACATACTTCATCTATAATGGACAAAAATACAAACAAACAGAAGAAGCACCCATGGGATCACCCCTCTCACCTGTCATTGCCAACCTCTACATGGAACACTTTGAAACCCAAGCTCTAGAAAAATCGGATCACAAACCCAAACTCTGGTTCAGATATGTAGACGACACCTTCATAATCTGGCCACATGGGAAAGAAAAACTGGACAACTTCCTCACACACCTCAATAGCCTACACCCCAAAATACAGTTCACCATGGAAACAGAAGCTAATAACCAACTTCCCTTCCTGGATGTCTTAGTCTACAAGAAATCCAATGGCTCCCTAGGACACACCATCTACCAGAAGTAAACAAACCACTATCTGCACGCTTTCTCACACCACCACCCAGCACAGATCAGCTCCATAGCCAAGATACTCATCTCCAGAACAAAATGCTTAGCTGATGAACAACACCTAAAAACCAAACTACACACTCTCACCAATGTACTAACATCCAATGGATTCCAAAGAAATAAGATTACAAACCTAATCCAAAAAGAAACCCCCACTAAAATCCAAGACAGAGAACAAGAAAACGGCAAAGCCCTCCTCCCATACATAAAAGGCACCACAGACAGAATCAGTAAGATCCTCCATAAACACAACATCAAAACAGCATTCTGCACAAACAGAAAAATATCCACCATCCTAAGAAACCCCAAAGATAAAATTGAATTAGAAAATCAAGGAGTATACGAAATCCCATGCACCACTTGTCCCACCACATACATCGGACAAACCAACAGAAGAATAAGTGCACGCATTGAAGAACATAAGAACTCAGTCAAAAAAGAGGAACCAACATCTTCCCTGGTCCAACACCTTAAAGCCACAGGACATGAAATTGACTTTAAAAATACCAGAACCATTGCCAAAAGTGAACATTTTAATAACAGAATAATCAGAGAAGCCATCGAGATAGAAAAACGCCCACACAGCATGAACAAGCGAGATGATACGTCCCGCCTACCAGCCATTTGGAAACCCGCCCTTATTGACAAACGACTCCCTAACACAAAAAATGACACCAGACCCACACTCACAAAAACCACACAGGATGTCACCACCACACATCCACGCAAAAACAAACCCAAAGCCACACCGATGATGAGGCACGACCACAAACCAGAAGCCAGACCACAGCTGCATCATTAGCCACTTTAAACCCCTCCAATCCATACATGAAGCAAACTGACACCCCCATGAAGAGGAGGCACGACCACGAACGCGAAGCCAAAAAATAGCAAGGCAGCCCAAAATCTTAAACCCCTCTGCAACTCAGACTAACCTGAGCACAACCAAACAGAACACTCCCCCAGCCAATCAGAGCACAGCCAAGCCCCTAACCATTCAGAACACACCTCCACCCAATCAGAACACAGCCAAGCTCCCACCCAATCAGTTCATACCCCCACTGGCAGTTAAAAGGAAGAAACAGCTAAGACCACACATTGCTGCTCAAAGCACGAAGCTGAAAACACCAGCCTGAAGATGACGAATGGGACTTCGTCGAAACGTCACCAAGACACTTCCAATTTTACGCGGGGGAAAACCCGAACAACCAAAGACCTACATACAAATACCCGCGAAAACCTCAGAAAACAAATATCGAACCTCTACGGGGAGGAAATCCACCATCTGACCAGGACCTAGGAAAAACTTGAAGTCCAAAGAGCTTCCATTTTATGCGACCTCGCATTCCTACGCAACTGCCGAGATCAAAATCTAATCCCCCCATGTTTCCAACTGAAATTCCACTCCAACTCTGCAGCCACCAAACGGATCCTGAAAAGAACAGAATTGGCCCTAATCAGAAATGAACTTCACACAAAAAGATTCCTCCTAGACCAAATTAACAAAGATCTCCTCACACTCCACCTCAAACTCAGCAACAAGATCCACCCCGCACTTTGGGACAAATCCAAACAACTCGCCGTCTGGAGAGCCAAAACACAGACCACCCTCAAGACAGATACACACACCAACAAACTCCGAAGACTACAAGAATGCCAGAAACAAACCCCTCCTCCCTCACAGCCACACATGAAACAAACAGTGCATAACATCTCAGATAGGATCCTCACCAAAGCCGAAACCAATGTCCTTTCGAAAGGATTCAACTTTGCAGTCGCTCCCAAACACATCTCCACTGAAACCATTATATGTGGAGTTGAAACCAGCCTGACCAAAATCAACCCCGATGACGCTAACAGAATCAGACTTGAAATCACCAACATCCTCTGCACCAGCAAGCCACCCAAAAGCAACTTACCCAAAGAGGAACAGACAACATTACGTAACCTGAAAGAAGACACCAGCATAATAATCCTACCAGCAGACAAGGGCAACGCCACAGTGGTTATGAACACATCTGACTACCAAACCAAATTAACCAACCTACTCCAAGACTCCACATACAAACCCCTAAATACAGATCCCACCACCTACCTGGAAAAAACCACCAGATCCAAAATAAAAGCCTCCCCCATTAGCGAAGAGATCCAGCAAAGAATCATTCCCAGAGAAAAATCATCCAGATGCCCCAAACTCTATGGTCTCCCCAAGATACACAAAGAAGGAACCCCACTCAGACCTATAGTCAGCTCCATAGGCTCACCTCTACAAAACCTAGCCAAATTTCTCGCCAAACAACTACAGCCCTATGCAGAATCCATCACCTCACATGTAAAAAACTCATTCCAGTTTATAGAGATCATAAAGAAACAAAACTTACAGCCCAGCGACCTACTAGTGAGCTTCGATGTCATATCCCTCTTCACCCAAGTGCCTATCAAAGAAGCCTTGACAGCTATTCAAAACAAATATACCCCCCCAAACACATCTTAGATCTGACCAACCACTGCCTATCCAACACATACTTCATCTATAATGGACAAAAATACAAACAAACAAAGGAGCACCCATGGGATCACCCCTCTCACCTGTCATTGCAAACCTCTACATGGAACACTTTGAAACCCAAGCTCTAGAAAAATCGGATCACAAACCCAAACTCTGGCTCAGATACGTAGACGACACTTTCATAATCTGGCCACATGGGAAAGAAAAACTGGACAACTTCCTCACACACCTCAACAGCCTACACCCCAAAATACAGTTCACCATGGAAACAGAAGCTAACAACCAACTTCCCTTCCTGGATGTCTTAGTCTACAAGAAATCCAATGGCTCCCTAGGACACACCATCTACCAGAAGAAAACACACACAAACCGCTATCTGCACGCTCTCTCACACCACCACCCAGCACAGATCAACTCTGTAGCCAAGACACTCATCTCCAGAACAAAACGCTTAGCTGACGAACAACACCTAAAACCCGAACTACACACTCTCACCAATGTACTAACATCCAATGGATTCCATAGAAATAAGATTACAAACCTAATCCAAAAAGAAACCCCCACTAAAATCCAAGACAAAGAACAAGAAAACGGCAAAGCCCTCCTCCCATACATAAAAGGCACCACAGACAGAATCAGTAAGATCCTCCATAAACACAACATCAAAACAGCATTCTGCACAAACAGAAAAATATCCACCATCCTTAGAAACCCCAAAGATAAAATTGAATTAGAAAATCAAGGAGTATACGAAATCCCATGCACCACTTGTCCCACCACATACATCGGACAAACCAACAGAAGAATAAGTGCACGCATTGAAGAACATAAGAACTCAGTCAAAAAAGAGGAACCAACATCTTCCCTGGTCCAACACCTTAAAGCCACAGGACATGAAATTGACTTTAAAAATACCAGAACTATCGCCAAAACTGAACATTTTAATAACAGAATAATCAGAGAAGCCATCGAGATAGAAAAACGCCCACACAGCATGAACAAACGAGATGATACCTCCCGCCTACCAGCCATTTGGAAACCCGCCCTTATTGACAAACGACTCCCTAACACAAAAAATGATACCAGACCCACACTCACAAAAACCACACAGGATGTCACCACCACACATCCACGCAAAAAACAAACCCAAAGCCACACCGATGATGAGGCACGACCACAAGCCAGAAGCCAGACCACAGCTGCATCATTAGCCACTTTAAACCCCTCCAATCCATACATGAAGCAAACTGACACCCTCCATGAAGAGGAGGCACGACCACGAACGCGAAGCCAAAAAATAGCAAGGCAGCCCAAAATCTTAAACCCCTCTGCAACTCAGACTAACCTGAGCACAACCAAACAGAACACTCCCCCAGCCAATCAGAGCACAGCCAAGCCCCTAACCATTCAGAACACACCTCCACCCAATCAGAACACAGCCAAGCTCCCACCCAATCAGTTCATACCCCCACTGGCAGTTAAAAGGAAGAAACAGCTAAGACCACACATTGCTGCTCGAAGCACGAAGCTGAAAACACCAGCCTGAAGATGACGAATGGGACTTTGTCGAAACGTCGCCAAGACACTTCCAATTTTACGCGGGAGAAAACCCGAACAACCAAAGACCTACATATATATATATATATATATATATATATATATATATATATATATATATATATATAGTGTTATATATATATAGTGTTATATATATATATAGTGTTATATATGTTTTCTGAGGTTTTCGCGGGTGTTTGTATGTAGGTCTTTGGTTATTCAGGTTTTCTTCCACGTAAAATTGGAAGTGTCTTGGCGACGTTTCGACGAAATCCCTTTCGTCATCTTCAGGCTGGTGTTTTTGGCTTCGTGTAAACAGCATGAGAAGACTACTTATCACTGGAATATTGACACAATGGAGCTCTAAGCACTTTGGAGTAAAATGGCTAGAAACCTAAGGCTGCCCAGGAAGACAGGATCTTTCCAAGATTTCTCTGATAAGTTCTGCTGTATTTTCCTTTAGCTTATAATTAAACAGACCACCTTCCAGATAGCAAATCCGGGACTCTGGGATCTTCTTCACCACCCTTCCCATGAAGAATTCGCTATCAAAATCCTCTGAGCGAATCTGTGCACCATATTTTAGGAAACTCACTTCATAAGGATTGAACTCCAGCCATTCTGCAACAAAGGGATACACAAAGGAGTGAAAGACAGCTTGGTTGGCTACTGATCCAAAAATGAAATTGGACATAGCATATAAGTATTGCTTGAGCAGAGTCCACAAGATTGTCTGGGACACTACACATCTTCTTCATGACTGTTTTCCTTGTTACCTTCTGGGAGGAAGCTCGGTGGTATCTGAACCACCAGAACATCCAGATTCAGTCATAGTTTCGTTCCATACTCTAAACTCTAAAGCTTCCCTTTTCAATTATGTATTCAAGATGGACAGTGATTAATATTTAGATGTTATTTATATGTAATGGTATGGGTTTATACATATGTTGTATGTCAGAACCCTGTCTTTCTATGGGCATGGGGTTTCTTGTTCTTTTCGGGTTCTGCTATTCTCCTGAGGGGAAGGGGGAAGCTTGGGACTGCTGATGTGTATTTCCTTTGCTCTATTCCTTGCTCTATTCTTCTTTGATGTTTCTCCATTGGGGTGAGAATGGAATTTGGCTCCAGCCATCTGCCTTATCTCCGGGCACAGAAGACACAGTGCAGAGAGATCAAACAGCCTTGGAAGCAGCGCCTTATCACCCCATTCCCATAGCATTTTCACACTTGCAGATTGGCCTGTTTGACTCATCGAGATGGACAGTTGGGATGGGGTTACAATTGATTCTTTTGACCTATTGATTCATGCGGGAAACCCTCAAATACTGCCTTCTATTCCTGCTGTCAACATCTCCCAATAAAAGTTCCTTTTGAAATGATGTCCATTTCAAGAGTTCTGCTTTCTTGGTAGGACTGATTGAGCAGGTCCTTACATTGTATATAGCATGTTTAAATGTGTGTTATGTACAGTATGTGTACACTTTGAGAGCAAGCAACTAAATTTCATTTTTAATGTCTGCCAATGTGCCCAGAGTAAAAAATGACAATAAAGGTTATGTAATTAATCTAATTAAATCAGAAGAAAGAAAGAAAGAAAGAAAGAAAGAAAGAAAGAAAGAAAGAAAGAAAGAAAGACCTCCAGAGAAATTTCCTGTAGAAAAAAATAGCATCAGACAAACAACCATCTTGTCCCAATTACCCTGATAAATTTTGTAACATCTACCACAAATCTAAATGCAAAGCATGACAAACCAGAAGTTTTTATTCAAAGAACAACTTGCATCACTATGTTTATAAAATAGAGAATAATGAAAAGCTGTTTAAGGGAATAATTTATAGCTCTTTAAATACTTATTCAAATCTTATGCATAAGTTTCTAAAAGAAAATTTCTGGAACTACCTGTAATTCTTAGCCAATAAAAGATAATGTCATTTCCTCTTACTCAGATATAGATTTGAATCACTAGCTTTCAACATATTAGGTTTTTGGAGGTTAAACGTGGATGCTTTAAAAAAAGGCCTAGTTGCTCAGCAAAAACATAAGCAGGTCCTTTCAAACATTCAAAATATTGATGTAGAGGAGAACAGTTTTCATTATTCTAAATAACAATGCAAGCAGAGATAACTTAGATCAGGACAGGAAACTGGTTCCCTGCTGGATGTTTTGGGCTTTAACTCTTATCAGTGCAAATTGTTGTGGCAAGTTCTTAAAGAGATGGGAGTACCAGACCATCTTATTTGTCTCTTGAGAAACCTATAAGTGGGTCAAGAAGCAACAGTGAGAACTGGACACGGAACCACTAATTGGTTCAAAATTGGAAAAGGAGTCTGGCAAGGCTGTATACTGTCACCCTGCCTATTTAACTTATATGTAGAGCACATCATGAGAAAGGCAGGGCTAGATGAATCAAAAGTTGGAATTAAGATTGCTGGGACAAATATCAACAACCTAAGATATGCAGATAATACCACTCTAATGGCAGAAAGTGAAGAGGAACTAAAGAGCCTCTTGATGCGGGTGAAAAAGGAGAGTGCAAAAGTAGGCTTGAAACTCAACATTAAGAAAACTAAGATCATGGCATCTGGCCCTCTCAATTCCTGGCAAATAGAAATGGAGGTAGTGACAGATTTTATTTTCCTAGGCTCCAAGATCACTGCAGATGGGGACTGCAGCCAAGAAATTAAAAGACGCTTGCTCCTGGGGAGGAAAGCTATGGCAAATCTAGACAGCATATTAAAAGGCAGAGACATCACCCTTACAACAAAAATACATATAATCAAGGCCATGGTTTTCCCAGTTGCAATGTATGGCTATGAAAGTTGAACCATAAGAAAGGCTGAGCACCAAAGAATTGAGGCCTTTGAACTATGATGCTGGAGAAGACTCCTGCAAGTCCCTTGAACTGCAAGGCGTTCAACTGGTCAGTCTTAAAAGAGATAAACCCTGACTGTTTTTTAGCAGGCCAGATCCTGAAGTTGAATCTCAAATACTTTGGCCACCTAATGAGAAGGAAGGACTCACTGGAGAAGAGCCTCATGCTGGAAAAGATTGAGGGCAATAAAGAAGGGGATGACAGAGAATGAGGTGGCTGGATGGAGTCACTGAAGCAGTAGGTGTGAGCTTAAATGGACAATGGTAGAGAACAGGAAGACCTGAAGGAACATTGTCCATGGGGTCACGATAGGTCAGACACGACTTCGCAACTAACAACAACAACAACAAAGCATCTCTAACCTATCAATAGCTTAAATATTACAGTACTACATTTTTATCTTTGATCTTCTGCACGATCTTTCTGCCTTGATGACATTGGGTAGAACTGAGTATAATGCAACCTTTTCTATACAATCCATGTAGAAGTACTCTAAGAGATTTGTGATAAATAGGAAGTACTTGTTCTGTTAAATTCAAGGTCAACATTTTTTCTCCTCTCTTCCAATGCCTATAGCATGCAACCAAAATCTAAATTTCCACAGTGGAGAGACTGGTATGTGATTACCCACCTCTAAAGTCAAAAGTGCTGACATGATCCTGTTTGACATTTATGGCTGTATAAATAGGAAAGGGGTTCTGCCCCTGAGTCAAAGCCTGTTGCTGTTCTGAAAGCTTAGTGGGATTTGCCTTCAAATAAAGGGAAACAAAATAAATATTTTAACATATGCATCATTCAATAGAAGAGAATACATGTAGCTCAGCGTTAAACTGTGAAATCCTTGATATTCTCTGAGCCTGGTTGTTTGTTTTCAGATGTTTCATTACCCAACTAGATAACATCATCAGTGCTCAGAAGTGTGAGGCAACCCACACTCACCAGCACAGATGATATTACATAATGTCACATTCCTGCTTCAATAGAAGAAACTAGCGAGCACATCTTTGCTGCATAACAAATAATTAACATACTCCATTGTGGAAAAAAGCTTCCTGAATAAGGGCCCAGAGTGCTGTAAAAGATGAAAGATGACCAGCTTTGATCCGCTCAGTTAGCTCCTTATGATACTGCTTCAATCTTTCACTAGAAATAGTATCCTTTTTGTTCTTGATCAACTCTCTTTTCAAATTTCTGATGTGGTTGTTGAAACTTTGATGGGACCAGTCAATATGACGATACAAATTTGTCAGTGTCCTGCAGTAGTAGGAAAAATGATATTTAATAAAATAAAATAAAAATTCTCCACTAGTATATATTCATAGTATTTTACAAGCATTTTAGAAATATCCTGTTCTTGTAAAGTGAGAAATCTGATGTCGATATCTATTTTTCAAGTTGAATTGCCCAAAGAATTCAACCCACATGGTTTTAATTAACTCTTTGGACGCACATTTTGAAATAGAAGAATTTATTCTTGTCCTTTATTAAATGCTGACATATAGTGGACATGGACAATTCAGTTCTAATTATACTTATAGTAATCTTTAACCCCAACGTGAACTTCATCTTTTTTTCTGGCTGAAAGATATGAATATTCATCTTGATTCTCAACTTTTAATCCAGCCTTCGATAATATTGTTGAATCATTTTACATTCAGAATTGGGGTGTGGGATATTTCTGCTCCACCAAGGAATCCCTTCCATTCTTTCTGCTCAGTAGAACATTGACTTTCATAGTCCTACTCTAATGAAGGAGTACAGGGAGTGAAGTCCCAAAAATACTCATCATGGTAAAGCAGGCTGAATAATGTATTTTTCTAATTGAATTCATTTCCACAGACATAATGTTCTCAGCACTGGGCCCAGTATAATTGGAATTCTAATAAAATGTAACACATTTATCTTAGTTTTTACCACGTTGATCCAGAAGCACTGGTGATATATGTAATGCAATCCAAAAGGTTCAGTTTCTGGAAGGCTGAGAGATGACCATATAATGATGTCATGGCTCTGATACCACCTCCAGTTGCCACAAGAGCAATCACTGGGACCTGTTAGAAATATATACAATCACTTCATCAATAATATAAACATAGTACAATCTTGGATTCTAGAATATAAATTCCAAGTTATCTTTTAATAGATCAAATTGGTAGTTCCAGTTTCCAGTGGGGAAAATGGCAGCTTAACTGTCTCCAAACGGAAACAGTGTTGCAGCTTTTTTCACTTCCAGTTATTGAGGGAGGATGCTTTTTCTTCCTCTAGATTTAAGAAAGAAACTTGAAATTAACATATGTCCTTCCTACTGTCACACCTCATGAATAAGTCATAGAAAAAGATTTTTTCCCCGATTGGTTAGTGAATTGAGCAACAGATAGGTGAGTTCAGGTGAGCTCACAGCTATATCATAGCCTAAATTTATGGATACTAAAACTGACATTCCTCATTCTAATGCAATTTTTAGATTATAATTTCTTCTTCAGTTAAAGAGAGATTTTGTTTAAATATGACTGGTGATTGTCATTATTTCAGGGACTATAATATTTAGAAATCTCTGACAACTTTATTGATTTTTGCTTGCCTCACAAAAACTACACTAAAGAGATTAAAATAAAATAAAATAATTTTTTAAAATTTAAAAAGGAAAAAAATAAAAGAAAAAACTCTTGTATAGGAAAGCTGCCTTGTTTATATATCAGTTATAAAACAAAACCTTGAAGGTCAATTACCAGAACACAAGATGGCTACTTTAAAGAAAATGTTTGATTTATGGAATGTGACGATAATTTTTTACTGGAACCAGAAGTAACAACTGAAAATGAACAAATCCTTCTGGAAACAATTGAGATAGATTCACTGGATTACAAATGCAATTAGATGTTCATTCAAACATTGAAAAGGACATTGTGGATTTCCCTTTCAAATTGAAATATAAGAAATTTATTGGAGTTACTTCATGGAAATTGGAAGTGGACTTGAAAGATGATAAAAATTTCAATAAAAGAGGAAAAGACACTAAAAGAAAATGAGTCAGAATTTTATTTATGGGATTTAAGAATGGTTGGGAGTAAAAAGAAAAATATAAAATTGGTTTATCTGACTAACTGGCTAAATAATGAGCTTATTTTTTATGATGATATTGAATGGTTATATGGATTGGATACTGTTGGGTTTTTTTTAGAAATATCTAACGGGGTAGTAGATGAGTTTTTGACATCTACACAAGGGGAAATTATTTTTGATAATGTTTAATTAATTTTTATAATGTTTAATTGTTAAGAAAGGCATGAGAGGAACATAGACTAAATGGACAAGAGGGATATATATTTATGTCATTTTTGTTAATTTTGACTGGATCTAGGCTAAGTAATAAAGAGAGCTGAAGATTTAGATATGCATTTTAAAAGCTTATAAAGTTTTGGCTCCTAAGTAAGGAGCTGGACAAACCTCTGCAATTTTCTTGAGAAGACTTTTCAGAAGTGGTTTGCAATCTCTTCTTTCCTAAGGCTGAGAGAGTGACTGGCCTAAATTCATGCAGCTGGCTTCGTAACTAGTGCAGACCTAGAACTCACACCTTCTGAGTTTCTAATCTAATGCCTTAACCACTAGACCAGACTGGCTCTCTTTATAGTCAGCTTATATGTAGGATCAAACTATATACAAACAGAGGTTTAGATCTGTGCAAATCCAAAATGGATATCCAGAAACTGGATTTTGTAACATTCCATGAATTTAAGTAACAATTTGATTTCTAGAAATCCAGTATGGCTTCCATTTTGTGCCCAGACAACATAGCATACCTCAATCTCTGTTAGAATCATACAGATGGCAGCTCCTTAACTTACATTTTCAATCTAGCGTGCTGTGCAAGCACAATTATGTTTGGCAATAACATGATGGTAATTCATTAACATGCAAATAATTACAAGATGTCCACATACCTCATCCTCTTGTAACTCCTCTCCTAGATTAAAAAGCTTATATAGGGCATCTGCAACAACCTTTTTCCTTTTGCGCAGATAACCCTGCTCATCAGGACAAAGCTCGTAACCCAAACGCACATGAAGATTCTGTGACCTGGAACACAGAAATAGCCACATCACTGCTAAACATAGACTAGATGTCTGATCATTTAAACAATAATGCAGTTAGCTGATATCAATTCACAACTTACAGGCATTTACCGGATTTGGTTTCAGGTCTGTATGGGAATCAAAATCAGCCCCATGCCAATCAGTTGAGGATTGCTGGATGCTCTTCATTGCACTAAGCCTTGATTTCCTCCTCCTTCGATGGACTTGTTTTATGCAAAGGGAACACCTCGGGAGGAAGTCCAGCCTTAGACCATTGGAGCATGCCCAGCAATACCATCAATTAATTCATGGGTACCCAACTGGCTTCTTATGTTGATATGAAGTTATATCTGAAGCCTACAGCAGATTAGACTACAATTAGAAAAACCAAGTTCTCATTCAAAGAGTGTTGAATGGTCAGAAGCTACATCTCAGCTTCTTAACTACAGGAAGGGCTGTGGCTGATTTTTTCCTTTTCCTTTTCAGGTTTGGGAAAACTGTTTAAGGCTTTGGGGAAACTCTCTGTGAAAAGTTTAAGGGCAAAGATGAGACACAGAGGGAAACTGTTCTCCTTCCCACTTTTCAGGGCGAAATCAAAGCAGTGAAATAGGGTAGTTTTGCTCCTGAATTTCTGAAGAAGTACGAATGAGATACTAGGGCAGCAGTTCTCAACCTATGGGTCACGACCCCATTTGGGGTTGATCGACCATTTTATGGGGGTCGCGAAACAACGCGATCTGCCATTTCCCCCCCAGGGGGCGGCACCGTGCATGCACGCCACGCATGGGGGCAGCCCCGCGCATGCATGCCGCGCATGGGGGCAGCCCACGCGTGCGCACCGCGCATGGGGGCGGCCCCACGCATGCGTGCCGCGCATGGGGGCGGAACGTCCATGTGACAGGGGTCGCCATCACACGAAGATTGAGAACCGCTGTACTAGGGAGTTGCATGCAAGCCTCAAATGGGGCACATGTCATTTATGCTGAGGATAAACTGTCTTTCCTTTGCATTCACTCAGTGTATTAACTATGCCAAGAAAGAAAATACCTTACCAGTCCATTACCTGGAGATACAGGTCAAAGGTACTACCCTAAAAAGCAAAAAACATGCCTTAGTGAAGACAGTGAATCTGGACCAAAAAGGGGTAGAGGGACAAATAAGTTGGGCATATGAAAAAACAATAACCAAACGAACTCTTTAGATTTGTTCAACTGAGGAGGCATAAGAGCACTTAAATTCATTTTATCAATCAGTAAAGAAACTCAGAAAGTGCTATATTAGACTTATTCTTGAAATTTCAGTAATTCGTATTTTGAATTACTGAATAGAGCTTCTAGTATGTTGCTCCCTACTTCAAAATAAGAAATTCCTATTAGCTCATTATGTAGTTTATGAAGTTTATGTATGATTTCTGACCAGCAGTCAGTTACATTGAATAGCAACCTTTTGTGTTGCTGTTTTTTTTTAAAAAAAAATTAACAATATCAGGAAATGTGATCTGTTGGAATATTCATGAGCAGGAAGAGTCATGTGGAAACTTAGTCAGCCAATGTGAAGAAAGTGCTACTGAGTCTGTGGAAAAAGGTATTGAGTTAGAAGCTGAATTTTCAGTCTCAGGTTTGTCTCTGTATCTCTCTGTAAGAAGTCTTCAATTGAGCTATGTTGCTGTAAAGAAGAATGTATGGTATTGTAAATATTTTTATATGAATATAAAGAAGTTATTTTGAATCAGCTAAATGCAGTCAACTGTGAGAGCTTTTGATTTATTTTTTCACCAATAGAGAAATTAAAATTCTCTAACATGATCATTCATTTTAAAAATCAAAACTTGCCTTCCCCGTTGGTAATTCAACTTTGACTTGATAGCCAACTGGAAGCAGTTTCAAAGGCAGAATTAAAGAATAATCAGAATCACTGTCCTCGTTAGGTAAAATGTTCTGGGAAGAAAAAAAAAGATGAGCCAAATGAAAAAGATGCATACTAAAAATGAAGATTACTTATTGTTTAATGGTGATCATGATAATGATGATTAGCTGGCCTTTCAGTCACTGAATGAACTTTTCATTCAGGAAAATTCAGGTTAAAGTTTTAAAAAACCCTAGCTGAATCTGAAAATTCTTGAACCTCAAGAATTGTTTGGACTCTTTTCTTCTATTTTCCTTTAACTTTTTATTAAACCTTCATTAAATTTACAGTAATTCTTGCTGGTTCAGAGGAAACCTTTTTGCCATCTAGCACAAGTCTGGGGTAAAGAAATGTATGTATTCAACAGCTATATGGAAGCAGACTGTCTCATCGTATTTTGGCTACCATTTTCAAATTATTTTAAAAAGTGAAAACAAGAAAATAGCTAACCACAAAAATGAAGAGTGAAGATGGCAAGAATAACAAGACCAGATTGGGGGGAAAAAAACCAACCCACACAATCTAAAAGTGGCCACTTGCCAAAGACCTGGATGAAGACCCAAATCTTCAAGACTCTTTGAAACATCAGCAGGATGGTACTGATGGCTATTTATTTATTGCTATACTATAACCCAATGAATAACTGGCCATCCATGGAAAAGGGATACATTCATACTTATTTCCCTGTGCTGCTGTGGGTACATAGTAACTGAGACAATTACCTGAGTTTTAACTTTTAGTACTGGTCCAAAGCTTTTTATGCAATGAAAGCGGAAGGAATCTAAATTTGTGCTTGTCTTCTGTGTTCCTTCATAAGATTGTTGGACTGAAAAGACCACATTTCTATTGGCTAAAATAAAACAATACATGATAAATTAGGCATTATATATTTATGCTTCCAAAAATGTGTTGTTGAACACTTTATTTTAGCATGGACGCTTGTTATTTTGTATTTATAAATAAATTATTGAACTGCATCCTTTGTCAAATGGATCAGACATACAGTAGACATAGAACCCCATGTCTCTTTCATACATACAATATTTAATACTATGACTGTATAAAAGGATATTCTGCTTACAGCTTGTGAATATGAAAGAATTGTTAGATTAGGTCAAAAGTCTTGCTAAAATTTAGATAATTTATAACCAGGTATGCATAAGTGAATATAGCCTGAAGAATCTAATATCAGCTGATACATTAAACTGGCAGGGCTTTTTTCTGTTTTCATAAATCTGATACAAAGAAAATACAACACTTTAAAAAAAATTGAACTCCACCTCAAATTCACATTTTGCCAATTGCCATTCACATTTTATAATTTGAATATAAAATTAAATATTTTATTCAGATTTCACACTACTTTCACTTTAACATTCAGATGCTTCAGATGTGATAGATCTGGATACTGATAGAAATCATGAACACTATATCAAAAACAGTGTACTCTAAATATTATTGCATACCAAAAATCAAGTCCCACAAAATACACAATGTTAAAAGAGAAGGTTTTAACTTTTAACTTTTTTAACTTTAGCTAAAATCATCTGCATACTGATAATACCACATCCTATGTCATTGAATGACCTCACCCAGCAGTTTCACACAGGTGTCAAAAAAGAGTGGTGAGGAAGCTATGCCACAAAGTGGGAGTGAAGCTATTCTCCAAAGCACCTGAAGGCAGGACAAGAAGCAATGGATGGAAACTAACCAAAGAGAGAAGCAACCTAGAACTAAGGAGGAACTTCCTGACAGTTAGAACAATTAATCAGTTGAACAATCTGCCTCCAGAAGCGGTGAATGCTCCAACACTGGAAGTCTTTAAGAAGAGACTGGACAGCCATTTGTCTGAAATGGTATAGAGTTTCCTGCCTGAGCAGGGGGTTGGACTAGATGGCCTACAAGGTCAACTTTCAACTTTATTATTATTATTAATTTACTCAAAGCTGAGCAACAAAAAAGTCAGCACATTTTTCAAAAATATTTTAATACATATATCATATTAAATATTAACCATGTGCAGTAATTACTTTAAAATAATACTCTTTAAATATTCTCCAGAGCCAGTGATGGCAAACCTTTTAGAGATCGAGTGCCCAAACTGCAACCCAAAATTCATTTATTGCTGGGTGCCAGGTGGAAGTGGCCAATTGGGTGGGCATGGCTGTGGTTGTCACAGCCAATTGGGTGGGCATGGCCTGGATGGGCATCGCCACCTCGATGATGCTTGTGGGGAGAGATGCCTGTGGGGGCCGGGCAGGGTTGGGGAAAATCCAGGGTGTTCCTGGCAGGTGGGGCAATGGACCGGAGGTTCGTCCTGTGGGTAAGGCAAGTCAGGGCGTGGTGGCCAATTGTGCGGGGCAAGGCAAGGCGAGGCAGTGGCCGGGGCCGCTGCTGCCTGACACCATCAGCCCCTGCACACAGAGGCCAGTGAGCACATGGGGGCTGACGGTGTCCTCAGCAGCCACAGCCTGCTAGCTGTCCTGCATCATGGCAAACTGGCCAGGGAGCCCTATCGGCACAGGCGGAAATGGCCCCAGGACAGCCAGAAGGAAGACCCTGCCCAGCCTGGGCCCCATCCACTCGACAGCTCTGATGGGAGTGGCTGCTGCTGCTGCTCTGACCAGCCAACCATGCAGGGAAGCAGCAGGACGTGGAGGGGCAGCTGGGGGTTTGGAGCCACCTCGGCTGCTCTCTGGCAGCCCAATGAGGCAGCGGATCTCACGTACCAGCTGCCCAGACCCCCAACTGCCCCTCTACCTCCTCCTGCTTCCCTGCATGGTTGGCTGGTTGGAGCAGCAGCAGCTGTTGCCCCCATCAGAGCCATCAAGTGGATGGGGCCCAGGCCAGGGAAAGGATTCCTTTTGGCCATCCCAGGGCTGTCTCCTCCCGCGCCGATGGGGCTCCATGGCCAGTTCACCATGATGCAGAACAGCTGGCAGACTGTGGCTGCTGACGGATACTGTTGGCCCCCATACGCTAACTGGCCTCTGTGTGCAGGGGCCTATGGTGTCAGGTAGCAGATCCAGAAGTGAAGCTGTGCCACCCATCTTCGCACTGGTAGGGGCAGCAGTGGGGGAAGGTGGGATCTGGCATACACCCACCCTTTGCTGCTGTTGCCCCACATCATTCCACGTGCACCTCCAGGACGAGCATGCAGGATGATGTGGGGGGGCAGCTTGGAGATATGGGCATGTGCCATAGCACAACGATAGGCAGCACAGCTTCACTTCCAGATCTGCTGCCGGCCAGGCCTGGCAATGCAGGGTTCCCCACCACCACCTCCTGCTCAGCCCCGCACGTTGCCCAGGCGCTGCTGCCCCACGAGGCTGGGCAGCCAGTGTGCCTCATTGGGGCCTGCCCCAGAAAGCAACCAAGGCAGCTCCAGACACCCAGCCACCACTCATCCTCATTCTCCCCTGTGTGGCTGGCCGGTTGAGGGGCTTGGAGCAGCAGCCGATGAAACTCACCACTGGTCACTCGTGCTTGCTCACTCGATCGCTCGCTGTCTGCACCAAATGCTGCTCACTCATTCTCCCACCAAAACTTGCTCCTTTTATAGGTTTCCCTCACCCCACCCAGCTCTCTCAGCTATTCCTGGACCCGCCATGCATGGAGAGGGGGAGGGGAGCGGCCCAGCCCTGTGTCCCTCTGTCTGTGACAATGGTGCACGTGCCCACAGTGAGGGCTCTGCATGCCACCTCTGGCATGCATGCCATAGGTTTGCCACCACGAGCCTATCAGGTTTGTCTTTTTAATAAATTAAAAGAGTATTTTACATATTAAATTACCTGATTAATCAGTCCAGGGCTGCAACTAATAATACCTCTGTAGTTAAAAGGAATCTGGTAAAACACCAGCTGGTTATGTAAGACAAAAAGTCCCTAAAGACAGTGCCAGTCTGGTGTAGTGTTTAAGGTCCCTGCTAGATACCAGGGGCCATGAGTTCTAATCCCACCTTAGCCACAAGCCAGCTGGGTGACCTTGGGCCAGTTCCTCTTTCTCAGCCCTGGGACGCAGGCAATGACAGACCACTTGAAAACTGCAGGAAAAACAGCAGGAGTCAACACTGACTAAAAGTTACCCACACATGTACACAAACGAACAAGGGACATACCTTTCAAAACCTTCTCATTATCCTCCTTGTTCACTCTTACATCCAAAATGGAAAGTTCACGGGCCTATGAAAACCAAAGATGCAACATTGTGTCTAGAACTTCTGATCTATTTCTTTCCTTGCATTACATCATATCCCACAATGCAGTGCTTCCTATGGAGAAAAATGATGGCATATACCCATTTTTCCCAACCTGCCTCTTGCAGATTTTCCAGCCCATGTGGTTAACACGGACCCAACACCTTTAAGGAATACCAAGTTATAGAAGGCTGGTTTACACAAGACTCCAGATAAACTTACCACTAGGACACCATTGGAAATCAGTTGCTCAGAAGGGCCTGGCCTAAAAAGCAGAGGAAAAAAAGAAAAATAAACACAACACACACACAAAAAAAAAACAAATAAGACCAATGTTGTTAGTCTTTGCTGTTTTAGAAATAAGGCCTTGTGGATGACTGACAAGAACAAGAAAGGGAATACAAACAGCTGAAGACACTCCTATTCTATAAATTGCAACTACAGACAGACACATCATTATGATGTTTGTGCATTGTGACACAGAGTAAAATTCTTTACTCATTACATCTTTATCAGTTTGTCCATGAACTGAATTTAAAGGGACACCAATAAAACATAGTGGAGTGTGGAAAAACCAAACCCAAAATATAATAGCAATAGCAGTGATGGGATTGAGCCAGTTTGCACCAGTACGGCAGAACTGGTAGCTAATTTTTGGTTGTCCAGGTCCAGAGTGGACTTCCGTAAGTGGCATCCACATAGAGAACTGGTTGTTCACATATTTGAATCCCACCACTGAGCAATAGCAATAGCACTTAGACTTATATAACACTTCACAGTGCTTTACAGCTCTCTTTAAGCAGTTTACAGAGTCAGCATATTACCCCCAACAATCTAGGTCCTTATTTTACCGACCTCGAAAGGATGCTATCAGAGCCGGTCATAATCAAACTCCTGGAGTGAGCAGTGAGTTAGCCTGCATTACTACATTCTAACCACTGTGATAACAACAACAACAACAACAACAACAACAACAAGATAACAACTGGAACATCACTTGAACACCATTTATATTGACACCCTCAGTCAATTGAAAATGGGCAGTTCTGCTTGGAAAGCTGTGACAATATCTCAAACAACATCTGCCTATCCCAGGTCCTTGGGAAGGACTGAAAGGTAACTGAATGGAGCTGAGTGTTTACTGGTCGGATGCCCTTCCTGATGCCTATGTGGAGTTCAGAGCAGATATTTACTCTTTGCGCCCTGATAAACATCTGTCGCTGCCTAGGATTGAACTCTCAGCCTCCAGATTTTGGGCTTTACCTCTAGGCTATTGCACCACTCAACCAGCCATAAAAATAATAATCCAAAAATAAAACAATACCAGCAGTACTTCAGCACAGCACTGAATTAAAGGATAAGATAATTTGTCCATTAAACACCTTTGTATTTTTCTTTCTTGTTGTAAATTCACCATTGGTGCTTATAGAAGCAAAAAGGCTGATTATATGATTATACATTTAATAAATAAAGCAAGCTCCTTTCTCTTCCACCTACAAAAATAAAATATCTGAGTTAGGGCTCATGCTTAGCCTGGAGAACCTCCTTGAATAGAGATGGAGCCATTACAGGAAATGACTGTCATCATGAAAAAATCCTATTGATTATAATTATTACAGAAGCAAAAGAAGAAGAAAAAGTCTTTTGTTCACCAAATAGACCAGAAACAGATCTTTTTTTCCTGTTTTATATAACTTCTAACTTATGCAATCTATAAATAAAAATACGAAATATAGTTCCTTAAATTCAGAATAATGCGGAATTAGTGGCTAATGATCCTTGTTCAAATCAAATTAGCATTCCAGGATCCAGGTTCTGACAATGCAGTACAGAAACTGGCTATTTTCATTGTTAAGGAAACACACTCAACAACCACAAAAGTGCTCTAGAACTGGCCATCTTTTTGAGAATTTTTTGGGGACAGGGAACTCATCCTGAGATTGAGTTGGAAGGGTGATTCTGTTCTAATTATGGACAGCATATAGAAGAACTAGTGGAACCTCCAAATGGTTGTTTTCACATGATATGAGCTAAATAGGGATGAAAAAATAGTGGTTCAATATCTGCAGGAACTCCAACATGGTTTAGCATATTGTATAATTCAGAACAAAGTTACATCATATTATGTTTCATTTATTTGAATACAGCAGGGGTGTCAAACTGCCGGCCCATGGCCGGATGCATCATGCCAAAACTGTGTCCACCCCATTGCCAGCAATGGAGAAAACGTCGCAATACGTTACAACACATCACGTGATGTTGCGAGTTTGACACCCCTGGAATACAGTATGCTATATAAACAGAAATCTGCTTCAGTCTGTTATGTTACATAAATCCAGGCAATGTATCAGAATATATTTATATTGAATTCTGTAACAGATCATTGCAGAATTGTATGGCTTACTAAACAAAATAGGTAGGACAGGTTGAGGTAGGATAGGATAGGATACTCAAATACCCGAAAACCAAGCTTTATTATCTGCTGAATAATTCAAAGAAGGAATTTCCAAGAACCAAACTATGAACAATGACTTAATCAGCTTTCAAATCACTTACACATCTGAGAGCTTGAATTCCACTTCTAGAAATTCATAACGATAAGGTTGTTCTTGTTTCTGGTAATAGAAAAATATTTATAAAATGTAAGTAATGAAGACAACATTAACATATGCAGTCCACAGGAAAGGAAAGAAGGAAAGGAAAGGAAAGGAAAGGAAAGGAAAGGAAAGGAAAGGAAAGGAAAGGAAAGAAGGAAAGGAAAGGAAAGGAAGTTGAGGTTGCTTCAAATTTTGTTTAGATGACATGTGATTAGAAGCCTAATCCCCTCTATAAGGACACTTCTTTTCTTGGCCACCTGCTATTTTACCAGGAATGGTTGCCTAAGTCTCCTTTAGTTTTGATTTTTGGTGAAGCAAATGGATAGAAATTGTACTTCCACAGAAATAAACTTCCACATTTCAAAATAAACACTTTATACTTATGTCTAGGCTTATAAAACTTTTCCTTAAATTTCACTCTATCTGTGCTTTCCTTCCACAAAACCCATGAAATGTACCATTTAATAAACTTGGGGAAAGAACATCCATTAGGGATAAGGAATAAATGTACCGTACATTATCTTCAAAATAACTTTTTGGCCCTCACCTTTGGTTTTAAGGAGAATTTCTCAAGGATTGGATTTCCAGGCTGGACGTTTGACAAATCAAAAAGAACAATAAATTGGATATCATCACTGGTGATTGGATCAGCATCGCAAACATTCAACTGTATGATATTCTGGGGACAGAAGAGAAGAAATGGCAATTGCAGGCACCTTTTTACTGATGACAATGTAGGTATTTCTGCTATAATATTTTCTTCCAAATTGATGGAATTTTGGCTATTGACATATACTCAGAGTAAGAAATCTAATTAGTCAATCTTATTAACTCTGTATAGCTGCTAATTTATTTACTTATGTATAGTTCATTTATACCCCCCCCCCACAATCTGAATCTTATTTTGGATAATCAATGTGGAAGCTGTTGAGAGAAAGTACTATATATTCTCCACTATCATATACATAAATGGATAAATACAAGTTGTATTTGAAACTTCAGCAGCCAACAATTCTAGCTCTTTAAAATGTGTAGAAAGGTACTGTTTTTCATAATATCTTCTTTGTGTCTATTTCTATTTTATGATGGAGGTCTGTTTTTGAGGAATTCTCATTTCTCTCAGCAGCTTTTGATACCATCTGTTATGGCAAATCTCTAGCTTCAGATGAGTTGGTAATTACCTTTTGTTCCTACTTGGAAACTTTAATCTAAAAAAAAAGCTGCTATTTTTACCTCAAGTCTTTGGAAAAATACAAGATCCTATCTTCATAATATTGTTCCAGTTTATGGTGTCTCAACTTATTGCTCAAAATTATGGATCTTTCAGGTGAAGAACAAAAAGAAGGAAGAACAGAAGCCAAATCAATAATTATGATCATTTGGCGATCTCAGGAGATATTACTGAGGGACTAGCAAACCATCTTCCACTGCCTCTGAATTCTCATTTCAATTCCAAATCATGGTCTCTACCCTGTGACAATACAAAGGCTTTTGTGTCAAGAACCAAAAGGGCCAAGAAAGAAAGGCCTATAAGTTCTTTGACAGATCACATTGGACATCATGTTCCACTTGCAAATAACAGCTTGTCTTATTACTCCCAAGCACTTCAGTTTCTGCAATTAGAAACAATCAAGTCTAGCTATACTCAGACTTAGGGAAATTCAGGAAATTCGGACCTTTGCCTAGAGCTCATGACATCTTGATGTATTGTTGATGGTGAAGGTTTTGTCTTGAGCTTAGACTGGAACCACTCTCCACTCTTCTTTAAGTCATCTATTTAGTCATGTCCTTGATCATTCTGCTAGTGTCAAATTAGCAATGATATCCAGCCCTCTGCAACCCTATCCCAGTTTGGATCAGAATCTCCAAGATCAAGGCATAGAGCTGGCATTAAGATGTTGAAAAAGGTCTTAGATGCTATTTCATCTAAATAATTCTTCCAATGCCAGTGTGGTTAAATAAATATATACAGCCCCATTTCCAGGAAAGATGGAAAATTCACCTGAAAACTTAACCAAAATGTATTTTCTGGGATATTATATTAGGAAAAAATCCCCCCCCCAAAAAACCCTGTCTACTAAGTTCCCAGAAATTATTAGCACTCTTTTCTTTTACAACAGATGCCACTGGCATTTTAAAACCCTCATATTAAATATGTATAATGGAATATGTTTCACTACTGGCAACCTCAGGGTATTTGTTTCCAGTCTTGGCAAGGAATTAACAGTAATCTCTGAACAAAAGGCATTAACTATCTGATCTCTATGCCTACAAACAAAATTTCTGATAAGTACTTTCAGCATGCAAGCATCTCCAAATGATAGAAGCCAAAAATTTCAGTAGTTTGTTTTCTGTTTCAAGTATCAAATCAGGGAGTAAACTTTACAGTTTTGTTTGGAAAAGTCCATTTTGCAATAACATTTTATGGATTTGTTTATCCTGTAAGCTCAAATAGTACGTACTATTTGCAATTACGTTACACTACCTTGATTTTGGTTTGGATCCTAAAATAAAATGTTTCATTCCAGACTGGGTAATAAGAATTCCTGATAGTCTGGGTTCTGAATATCTCCTGCGATGCTGTTGGCAGATGCAAAGTCACATAGCAACGTGATGCAGAAACTACAGCAGGAAAAAGAAGAACTTGGTAATTGTTTTTTCAAATATTCAGCACAGCTTAAGAAACAAAAGAAATATAATGACTACCTTCCTATGGGAATTTAAGAGTGCCACCTCCTTCTAAAAATATCTATTTGTTATAGTTCTATTTGTTATATATTAATCTATACATTATTTGTCATTAAATACATGCCACCAAGAGTGGCAAGCTAAAATTGCAATATAATAGAATAAAATAACAGAGTTGGAAGGGACCTTATAGATCATCTAGTCCAGGGGTAGGCAACCTTGGCTCTTTTATGACTCGTGGACTTCAACTCCCAGAATTCCTGAGCCAGCCAAGTTGAAGTCCACGAGTCATAAAAGAGCCAAGGTTGCCTACCCCTGACCTAGTCCAACCCTCTGCTTAAGCAGGAGACCCTGTATCATTTCTGACAGATGGCTGTCCAGTCTCTTCTTGAAAGCTTCCAAGGATGAAAGACCCACAACATCTGAAGGCAAATTGTTCCATTGGGTGATTGTTCTCACTGTCAGAAGATTTCTCCTTATTTCTAGGTTCTCTCCTCGATCAGTTTCCATCCATTGTTCCTTGTCTGGCCTTCAGGTGCTTTGGAAAATAGGTTGACCCCCCTCCTCTCTGTGACAGCCCCTCAGATATTGAAATACTGCTATCATGTCACTCCTGCTCCTTCTCTTCACTAGACTAGCCATGCCAATTTTCTGCAACTGTTCTTCATATGTTTTAGCCTCCAGTCCCCTAATCATCTTTGTTGCTCTTCTCTGCATTCTTTCTAGAGTCTCATCATCTTTTTTTATAGTCTGGTGACCAAAACTAGATGCACTATTCTAGGTGTGGTCTTACTAAGGCATTAGTACCATTAGTATTAGTACCTCACATGATCTTGATTCAATCCCTCTGTTAATGTAATAAATAAATGAATTAAGTGAATTAATTTAAAGGTTTTTCAGCTCTTTAGATTCTGAGAAACTCTTTTTTTGTAAGAATTTTATTGATTTTTTAGAATAACAACCTGGTGTACAGCGTGTTATCTTGGTTCATGAATTTATATATATATAAATTATATATATATGTGTGTGTGTGTGTGTGTGTGTGTGTCGGCCCAAATATGGGAGAAAGAAATCTTCTTTCTTTTTCTTTTTTCTTTTGCCTGTATCAGCTCAATCCAGAGCCATCCACAGGCAGCAGTCACCAACTGCAACATTATTTACATATACATTTTTAGATTGCTAACAAAGAATAAAGGAAGAACTGGGATAGCTATTTCGAGTTTCTTAACTCTCTTCAGCCAGACTTACCCTTCTGAGATTCAAACCTGGGCTGTGTGCATGTTAGGCAGCTGTATTAACCTCTAACCTTTCTCTAAATGAGAAAGAGCCTGTGGCCTAGAGGTTAATACAGCTGCCTAACATGCACACAGCCCAGGTTCGAATCTCAGAAGGGTAAGTCTGGCTGAAGAGAGTTAAGAAACTCGAAATAGTTATCCCAGTTCTCCCTTTATTCTTTGTTTGCAATCTAAAAATGTATATATATATAATCAATAATAGTTAATTAACAGTCAATAATTATTAAATTTTATATTTCCATAATTAGTATATCAATTGATATTTCCTTGATCCTCTCTTCTCCCAATAGCATTCTCCTTCTTCATCATCAAACAAATATAATTTTTGATATTTGATATTTTCCATATATAAATGATTAAATAAAAACATTTTCTTCTCACTTTCAGAGGTTTTTTTTGCTTTGGGGACCTTTCCCAGGGACTTAGTTGCAAAATAAGGGAGAGAAGATTAAATACTCTCACCAATTCCAAGCACGCTGTTCACCGGTGTTCTTGTTAGTGCTCTTGGACTTCTCGGCTGCAGGTAGCTTAGCTTAGACACTGACATGCAGCTAGCCTTTCTCCTGTCGGGTTCAGAGGGCTTCTCCCAGATCAAACAAAGTGATTGCCATCGCTTCGTGATCAACGGGGTGCCCCTCCTTCACAGTCACCTCTTTGAGGCGACTTCAGACCCATCTAGGGTTCCCCTGGCAGGACGAAACTAGCCGTGGGGAGTGGAGGTCCACTCTCGCTTGGCCATGTGCTACGGGCACAAAACCGGAAGTCCTCAGATTCTGAGAAACTCTTATTAAGATGTAGACTTTTTAGAAACAATTTTATGTAGTGGAAATGAGATTCAATTTAATGAGATAAAACATCAAATGAGATATAGGAGCAGTGTAAACTGGGTAGAAGATGAATCCTCTTCATAGAAAAAAGTGTAATAAGAAAGCATGTCCTGATCTGGGTTCCAGAAAAGATTATTTGAAGATTCACTGCAGGAAATTTATTAAAAACCATGCTTTTGGGTTGGAGACAGAGTGGTGCATTAACAGGAAAATGAAACCTAGGGACTAGTGGTAGAGAATCAGTGGAAAAATCTGGAACAAAAGCAAGAGATGCTGTTGAAAAAAAAGATTGATATCCCATATAAGCTGTAAACAATCAAGTTTATTATATTTTATTTTGCTCTAGGTCACAAAACAATCTCTAAAATTCTGAGCTCAGCTTTTCTAAAATTTTGTTTCTGTGAGATCAACACAAGTAACTCAACTCTATTTTTCAACCATAACATGCTAGGAACTTACCTGGCATATAAGAGGGGAGAATCCTGGCTTTCAGTATCTTGACAGACAGCAGGCATAGTGGAAAGAGTTGGTTCTGCAATGGAAACAAAGCCAATAATGAGGTCCTGAGCCAGTCCCTAGGATCTGGCATATGATATTATATACCCCCATCCATATTCCTTTCATTTTGGGGAAATATGCTGACTCTGTAAACTGCTTAGAAAGGACTGTAAAGCACTATGAAGCGCTATATAAATCTAAGTGCTACTGCTATTTGTTATAGGCAGCTTATGATATTTCCCTGCAATGCCCAGCCATGAAAGATCCTTAGATGTTGCTGTGGAATTCTGGTGCAGTGCAGAAGGGAAGGGCCACCCAACTCATGAAATGCATACTTTTCTTGTTCTTTTAGTTTTCAGATGTTTTCCAGA